AAATTACATTATTGATAGCATGCATGATAGTATGTTATGAGTTGCCCATGCCACAGGCCCAAGTCAAGACTCTCTGTAGCTGTCAAATTCACAGTCTAACTTAGAGGTGTGGATTTGTGATTGTTTCTATTTTTTTTTATTTATTTATTTTTAATTCTATAGGCACCTTTTATTTTTATAAAATATTTTCTTCTTTATTGATTTTAGAGAGAGAGGGAGGGGGAGAGAGTGAGAAACATCGATGAGAGAGAACATCAATTGGCCGCCTCCTGCATGCCCCCTACTGGGGATGGGGCCCACAACCGGGGCATGTGCACTGACCAGGAATCGAACCAGCTACCTCTTGGTGCATGGTTTGATGCTCAACCACCGAGCCACACCAGCTGATTTGTGACTGTATTTTTTTCTTTCTTGATTTTAGAGAGAGAGGTGGAAACATCGATGAGAGAGAACATAGATTGGCTGCCTCCTGCATGCCCCCCACTGGGGATTTGGCCCACAATCTGGTCATGTGCCCTGTCTAGAAATTGAATCCATGACTCTCTGGTGGTGGACCGATGCTCTAACCATTGCACCACACTTTTATTTATTTTTTATTAAAGTTGCCAATACTTTCTTTTTTTTAAGAGAGAGAGATAGGGAAACATCAATTTGTTGTCCCATTTATTTACACATTCATTGGTTGATTCCTGTATATGCCCTGACAGGGATCAAACCTGCAACCATGGCATAATGGGTTGATGCTCTAACCAACAGAGCTACCTGGCCAGGGCTAGTTACCAGTACTTTTTTTTTTTTATCACCTGAGGACATTTTTCCATTTTTTTGTTCAGATAGAGTGGGAAGGAGAGAGAGGAAGAGAGAGAGAGAAACATCGACATGAAGGGACACATCGAGCGGTTGCCACCTGCACAACCCTACCAGGGCTGGGGACAAACTGCAACTGAGGTTCATGCCCTTTACAGGAACCGGGAACCAAACCCCGGTCTCGTGGGACCACAGGCCAATGCTTAACCACTGAGCCAAACCGGCCAGGGCTAGTGACCAATACTTTAAAGAAAGTAATTTTTTTTTCCTTTACTGATTTTAGAGAGAGAGGAAGTGAGAGGGAGAGAGCGATAGAAACATCGATGAGAGAGAACATCGACTGGCCACCTTCTGCATGCTCCTCACTAGATATTGAGCCTACAACCTGGGCATGTGTCCTGACCAGGAATTGAACCTGCGACCTCTTGGTGCATGGGTCGATACTCAACCACGGAGCCACATCGGCCAGAAGAAAGTATTTATATAATAAATAGGTTATTTTTGGGTTTCATGTCAGTAGTAAAAGTATATTTTCAAATTTGTTAGGAAAGGGGGTTTGGGGTCCAACGTGGGTGAGAACCACTGGTCTAAAAGATCTCTGAAGATCTCAAGCTGCCAGTCTCTTGGACCAGTCTGCATCTCAGCAATCTTTAATTTTTTGGCTGTGCTGCTTTTCCTTTTAGATCTCTCAAAACTATAGTCCTCTTTATCTTACTGGGTATTTTACAGTGTTGGGATCTACTTTCCAGAAATCCTTTTGATGTTTTTCATTGAGTTTATTTTTTTATTTTTTTATTTTTTTTTTCCTTTATTGATTTTAGAGAAAGGAAGTGAGGGAGAAAGAGACAGAAACATTGATGAGAGAGAACATTGATTGGCTGCCTCCTGCATGCCCCTCACTGGGGATCGGGCCCACAACCTGGGCATGTGCCCTGACTGGGAATCGAACCAGCGATCTCTTGGTGCATGGATCGACACTCAACCGCTGAGCCACACCAGCCGGACAAGTTTATTTTTTAAGTAACAGTTTTATTAATTCATATGAAAAATTAATTCACCCATTTTAAGTGTAAATTCAGCCCTGCCAGTGTGGCTCAGTTGGTTGAACATCATCCTATGCTCCAAGAGGTCACCAGTTCAATTGCCGGTCAGGGCACATGCCTGGGTTGTGGGTTCAACCTCCAGTAGGGGGTGTGCAGGAGGCAGCCTGATCTGTGTTTGTCTCTCATTGATGTTTTTATCTCCCTCTCCCTCTCTTCCTCTCTCTCTGAAAATAATCAATGAAAACATATTTTTAGCCTAGTCGGTGTGGCTCAGTGGTTGAATTTATTTAAATTTAGTTACATATAGCTACCATGTAACTAAATTTAAATAAATTAAGATTAAATAGCCTGGTCGGTGTGGCTCAGTGGTTGCCAGTTCAATTCCTGGGGGCACATACCCAGGTTGTGGGCCCAATCCCCAGTGGGGGGACATGCAGGAGGCAGTCAATCCATGTTCTGTCTCATCGATGTTTCTTTCTCTCTCTCTCTCTTTCTAAAAGTCAATAAAGAAAAATATAAATAAATAAAAAAGATTAAATAAATATTTAAAATTAGTTCCTCAGTCACACTAGCCACAATTCAAGTGTTCAGTAGCTACAAATGGCTATTGGCTATTGTATTGGATAGCACAGCTACATATAGAACGTTTTCATCATTGCAGTAAATTCTGTTGAATAGTGCTGGTGTAGAAAAGGTTAACCTGACAGTGGGTGGAGGAATAGACAGAGAATGGTAAAGGGTCTGAGTGGTGGTGTAGAAATGAATGCAGGTTTGGAATTTGGACAAGAGAAGAATGAAACTTGGGGGAGCCATTACAAGATATGAGATTTAGAAAAGAGAAAGTAAATAAAATGGGGAAGTGAGCCCTGGCCAGTGTGGCTCAGTGGATAGAGCATCAGCCTGTGCACTGAAGGGTCACAGGTTCAATTCCTGGTCAAGGGCATGTACCTGGATTGCAGGTTTGATCCCCAACCCTGGCCAAGGTATGTGTGGGAGGCAGCCAATCAATGTGTCTCTCTCACATTGATGTTTCTCTCTGACTGTTTCTCTCTCCCCCTTTCTCCCTTCCACTCTATAAAATTCAATGGAAAAAATATCCTCGGGTGAGAATTAACCAAAACAAAAAATTTAAAAAATTAAAAAAAAAAAGGGAAAGTGAGAAGTTGAAGGAAGAGTTCTTAGGAATTTGATTTTTCTACAGTAACTTGAGTTAGTGATGGATCCAGTCTAATTCCTTCGTTTTATAGGTGAGAAAAGCATAGAATTGCTGTCTGTCAGGGTACAGTATAACTGTACATTGTACCTGTTGTGGGAAGCTACTTAAATCTGTCTTGGTCATTTTTAGTATTCTCTGGGAAAGTGTAGGAAATAGATGATAGAGCTGAATGAGAGGGAACACTTATATTAGTAGGCAGGTTACCCATATGGAATAGGAAGGTAGAAAGCAAAAGGGTTAAGAGTGGATAGGTAATTTGATTGTTACTATATACAGCATTTTCTATAAGGAATAACCAGGAAGTTGGAGGAAGGCTAGAGAAGAGAGTCTCTGAGGTTTTGCTATTTTAGTTGATGTTAATAACAACATTCTTTTAGCTCCAAGGCCTTACACTTTCAGGGCAGAGTAGAGCCCCCTTTGCTCTGTTTCATTGTTCTGCACCAAACCAGTTCGTACAGTTTGTATTGTGTCAAGCAAGATAAATCTGGAATGTTAGAGCACAGTCTAGATAAAATACTTATTAAGGCTATTGGAATGAGCCTCTTTTTCTTTTTTTATTCGAAAAGAAGTTTCTCTTCATTTGTATTAGTGTGTATAAATCTTCATAAAAATAGACCAAACCATTTCTGTTTCTCAGAATCATCATACATAAACCTCCTTACATTCAAAATAGGCTTTCATTTTTGTTAAATGTGTTACTCTACCCATAACAGTCCATGGCGTCTTTCTAAACATATTAGTGTATACTGCTTATCTAGCTCAGTTAATAAAGGTATTTTTAAGGGTTTACGTGGCTGCAGCTTTGTGTACTGCCACTGTTATTCCAAGTCCTCTTAGCTGTGCAATCAAGTACAGTAAGTCCTCATTTGATGTTGTCAGTAGGTTCTTGGAACTGCGGTGAAATGATGTATAACAAAACCAGTTTTACCATAGGCTAATTTATATAACAAGAGTTAAGTTTCTATTAATGTTATAATGGAATGACGTTATTTGAGGACCTGCTGTACTATGTACCACTTGTTGTAAGATTTGTTGTCATATTCCTTACATGTGTATAGAATTCTTTTGTTTTCTGAACCAAAAATTGAGGCAAATGTTCTGATAAAGAATTTTGATTCTGCCTTGGCCGGTTAGAGTGTCGGCCTGTGGTCCAGAGAGAACCAGGTTCGGTTCCCGCTAAGGGCATGTACCTCGGTTGCAGTTTGTCCCCGGCCCTGGTTGGGTCGTGCGGGTGGCAGCCACTCTATGTGTACCTTTCATGTTGATGTTTCTCTCTCTCTCTCTCTCTCTCTCTCTCCCTCCCTCCCTCCCTCCCTCCCTCCCTCCCTCCCTCCCTCTCTCCTCTCCCGCTCTATCTGAACAAAAAATGAAAAAATGTCCTCGGGTGAGGATTTAAAAAAAAAAAAAAAAGAATTTTGATTCTGCTTCTTGGGAAAAAAAAAGACACTCTAGGAAATGTATTTGGATCCTGAATGTTGGAATTTTTGAGGACATTCTGCTGGCTTGTGTGGAGATATTACAACAAATATTTGTAATTCGGACTCTGCTGGATAATTTAGAAAGTATGATCACCCCTAGATACCTGCAAAATGGCCGATTCTCAAGTGCAAGGGCAATTATTGCTTCATTAAATGCTAAAGATAATGTACACTGTTATATTCAGCTAGTTCCATTAGTGATCAAGGATATTATTTTTACTGACTGAATTAGAATGCACAAAATAATTTCAAATTAGTAATATTAAAAGAAGCCTTGCAAATAGGGTGCATTAACAAGACTAAGAATTGTTCACTTTTTATTTTCTGTAGCTGTATCTGGCTTCGAACATTTCTATTTATTACATTTCATATTTATTACATAGAAATATGTTCAAAAACATATTTCTAAGGCGTTTTCTTTCAGTTTTGTTCTCAGTATACCATTTTTTTCCACAGATTTGCTTGTAAATGTATCACGAAGAGGCAGCTCAGAATGAAGAAAGCAAGCAGGAGTGTTGGCTCAGTGCCTAAAGTGTCTGGGATAAGCAAAACACAAACAGTAGAAAAAACTAAACCTGAAAACAGTTCTTCAGCATCTGCAGGAGGCAAACTTGTAAAACCAGGAACAGCAGCATCATTGTCAAAGGTATTAACGTGGCAATGTTTGAATGTGTGATGGATTTTTAGGAGGTGAGGATCTTAATATAATGTTTGATTTATTCAAGAAGCATTACGTAGGGTTCGCCCTCTACTGGCGCTGGGAACACAGCCTTTGAAGAGAATTCAGTCTTGTGGACTCAACTGGTGTGTATAGACTGTCTTTATGAATGAAACCAAATAGTAGGTTTATTCGTGAAACAAACCCTTGAGTGCCTACCTTGTGCAAGACTCTGTGTGGGCTGGAGGTAGAATCTGCTTTCAAGGAGTTTGTGGAATAATGGATGGAGGTGAGTCACATACAGAATAACCAAAATATGTGTAAAAAAAGTCAGATGCTTAGGAGATCAGGAAAACAGTGTAAGCAGTTTCAAGTAGGAAAATATTGTTTCTAGCCAGAAGGTTAATGCTGGGTCTTAAAGGATGACCAGCAATAACATTCCTGAAACCCTAGATGGGTTTTTATTCTCACACCACCCCCTAACACACCATAACTGTGACTCTTTTTCTGACAGCTGATCCAGTATTAATTCTAGTTAAAATTGGGTGATACTAATTTTCTTTGCACTCCTTCATAGGCTGACCTAGTTCTCGTTAGTGTAGGACTCATTAAATTGGCGATTTTCAACTGGTGTGTCCCCAAAAATTTTAAAACATGCAGTACCTAACTATTTAGTTAGGAGCACTGACCTCTTTTCCCTTAGATTGTCAAATAAACAAATAACAACAGCCAATACAACAATAACCATCTGATATGAATGAATCAAAATTATACCTATTTTTTGGTCAGATCAGCAAAAAATATATTTTTTGGTGTGTGGCAGAATTTTAGTAATTAGTTTATGTGTGCTGTGAGATGAAAAAGGTTGAAAATGGCTGCATTAGATCATGGGCTGCAGGAGCAGACAGACATGCGTTTATTTTTTAAGATATTTTTTCTTTATTGATTTTAGAGAGAGAGGAAGGGAGAGAGAGACAGAAACATCGATGAGAGAGAATATTGACTGGCCGCCCCCTACACCGCCCCCACTGGGAACTGGGCCCACAACCTGGGCACATGCCCTGACTGGGAACCGAACTGGCAACCTCTCAGTGCATGTGTTGACGCTCAACCAGAGCCACACTGGCTGGGCTTTATTTTTATTAAAAAAATTTTTTGTCTTTATTGATTTTTAGAGGGAGAGAGAGGAAACATCAATGAGAGAGAACGTCGATTGGCTGCCTCCTGCATGCCCCCCACTGGGTATACATGTGCCCTGACCAGGAATCAAATCGGCGACCTCTTGGTGCATGGGTCGATGCTCAACCACTGAACCACACCGGCCAGGCAGACATGTGTTTAGTATGTGTTTTATAGGGCCGTGGTCAGGATGAAATGAGGGGAATATGTGAAAATGGTCAGTACAGGGTCCATTACACAGCAAGTGCTTAGTAAAATTAGCATTTTATTGGTTCGGTCTAGAAACTCTTTTCTAGCCTAGGATTGATTCCTGAAAGTGAGTCTTCCCTGGGTGTTCTCAGTGTCTGTGTTAGTTTGGACTATCCAAGGGACAGGATGGCTCTAGGTCAAGTCTTATGTCATTGCACAGAGATTCACACAGTCTTCTTCTTCTAGCCTTTCCCAGCCCAGACTTCATTTCTTTGTTCTTTGCTTGTTTAGGGATGTGGCGTTTTGGATTTTGATTCCATGGAGAAAACCTGGAGAGTGTTTCTGCTAGTGTGATAGGGAGGAACAAAGCCCTACCTGAAACATGATCCATTTAAAAGCCTTTTGTCCATGCAGGCCTTTAATTGAGGTTTAATTATTTTTAGAAGTACCTCCAGGAAAAGCTGGTGAGGGACTTCCTTATATGTGTTGAAAGATCTAGCAGGAAATGCTGGTTTTTCTATAGCTGAGTTTTCAAAACTGAACCCAGACTTACTCCATAGGCTTGGAGATGCCCTGAAATGTTCTCCTTGCTACTGCCCTGATGAGCTGCTGGTATCATTCTGTGGCCTAAGGGATGGTACCAGGAGTAGACTTCTGCCCTACTTCCATTAGTCTGAATCAATACCATGAATTATTTCTGTGGTGGCAGTGCTACCACTCTTTTGTGTAAGATAGCCGACATTTTCTGACCTAACTGGTTATTCCATTTCTGGGGCTGTCTTTGAGTGGAGTGCCTGTGTGACCTGTTATTTACATGACTGGAAGAACAGGTTGAAACATTGGCTTTGGATTTGCACTACCTCCTTCCTTCTGTTGCCTCCTTATCAGTGGCAGGCAGTGTCTTTGAAGGCTTACAAGGGGGTGTGCACTGTGCAGGCGTGTCAGATCTTCTGAGGCTTGGATCCAGAGTTGCGAGTAGTTTGATCTTGAACAGTGAGTACTTTTTCATTGTAAAGCAGAACTGTGTACCTGCTGTGTGCCAGCACATGCCAACTGTCCATAGCTTTGGCTCTACTGTGTTGTCTGGTTTGTTTAAATTCTGTGTGTGTAGTGGGGAGGGTCATAGAAGAGATGAAGCTGTTTGGGAACACTTTACCTGGAATGGAGCAATTGCTTTTACTTAAGAGAGGAGAAAAAAGTCTTGAATAGAAATTGAAGTAAGAAGACATAGAAGGAAAGAAGAAAATTGACATCAGCAGAAAAATTGAAAAAACTAAAAAGATTTGGAGACCCACAAACTTAAGTGTTATTTTTCTGTTTTCATATTTCACTGTGGTTCTCTAGCATATAGATGCCTCCCCACAACTTGAACTCCTGTAACTGTGATGTAATCATCTGATGATTAACCAGATGAATGAAGCGTTTGGCTTTTAATTATTTAAACACATACTCATCATGTGGACACCCACATTATTATGCCTGTCACTGCAGTATTCTCAGGACACTTTTCTTATAGTGACAGGGTACTGGGATGTGTCTTTCTTGACCTCTCATTTCAAATATTTGAAATCTACCAGGTATGGTTCAATATTTACACTTTTGTTTTTAGATTGAGAGTTTGGGGATTTATGGTCAGTGTACTGTGTTCCAAAAGATATTTGGATTGCCCTTCCCCCTTGGTGATTATGTCATTTATTTGAAATGCAGTTGGGTCCATTTGCTCGCACTGTGTTCTGTCTTAGGATTCCCCCACCCTTATTTATTTTATTTTATTCTTTTGAGCATGTGAAGTAGTACCATGGTTCTGCATGTCAAAACTATATGATGCCCTGGCCAGTTTGGCTCAGCGATTGGAGCATTGGCCTGCGAACCAGAGAGTCCCAGGTTCGGTTCCCCCTAGGGGCGCCTACCAAAAAAAAACTATATGAGAAGATGTATTCAAAGAAGTGCCCCTCTTCTCCACTCCCCTATTCCTTCTTACTCTTTACACCTACCCCTTAGAGCTAAATAGTCTAATTTGTTTTTGTTTATCCTTCCTCTATTTCTTTTTGCATAAATGAACAGATAAATGTATATTTTTTAATTTCCCCTTTTTTACATAAAAGTTTACATAATAAACTCTGGCTGGTGTGATTCAGTGGTTAGAGCGTTGGCCTGTGCATTGGGTCTCGGGTTCGATTCCTGGTCAAGGACATGCACCTCAGTTGCAAGTTCTATCCCAGCCCTGGTCCGGGCATGTATGGGAAGCAACCAGTCGATGTGTCTCACATTGATGTTTCTATCTCTCTGGCCCCCTCCTCCTCTCTCACCCTCCCTCTCCCTCTCCCTTCCACTCTCTCTAAAAATCAATGGAAAAAATATTCTCCAGTGAGGATAACAACAACAACAACAAAAAAAGTTGACATAATTAGACATACTTTTTTGTACTTTGCTTTTTTGCACTTACTGCATTCTAGAAGTCTCTCCGTACCAATTTATAGCATTTTTTATATGGCTGCTTAATGCTGGATTGTATGGATATACTATAGTTAATTCAGCTATTTGCATATGCATAGGCATTTAGGGTGTGTCCAGTATTTTGCAACTAAAAACAATGCTGTAATGAATAATATTATACATAGGTATTTTTGTATTACTGGAGGTCTGTCTTCAAGTTACATTCCTAGAAGTGGGATTGTTAGGTAAAAGGTAAATGCAATGTAGCTCTGTTAGATATTGCTAGATATTAAGTCTTATTAATATCAAGTTGCATTCATACAAGTAACTACTGAGTGTACCTGTTTCCATGTATTCTCAAAGGATATGTGATATCCTTTTTCATTTTTGTCAATCTGATAGGTCAGAAGTGGTATCTTAATGTTTAATTTGCATTTCTCCTATTGTTAGTTGGACTGATCCTCCTTTGTGTGCGTGTGAATTGATCATATAAGATTATTTATTTTGCTTACTTTTCTGCGTGGGTTTCAGTCTTTTTTCCCCTTGATTTTTAAGAGTTCTTTGTGTATTACAGATATTAGCCCTTTATCTGTAAGATATTGTACATACACTCTCCCAGTTTTATCTATCTCTGTCTCTTTCTTATGATGATTTTTTTGGCCCTGCAAAAGTTTAAAATTTTTTTTTTTAGATTTTAATTTTTATGTAGTCAAATTTATCAGTCTTTGTATTATGATTGAAGCTTTGGGGTGAAATAGGGTTCATTAATTTTTTTTTTCTTTGTGACTATTCAGCTGACTTAGCACTATTTAGTGGAAAACCTATTTTTTTTTCTGTACTGCTTCTTTGGTCATAAATCAAGTGTCTATATATGCAGTTTCTTTCTAGATTCTGTTCCATTCCACTGGTTTATTAATATTCCAATCCTCTGGTAGTTATTGATATTTGCCAGAGTTTTGATTTGGTGCTCTGATGTATGTTTAACTTTGCCATTACCCAAAGACTGATTGTAACCACAGAAATATGACAATTAAGCCACTTTTCACATGCTTCTTTCTGTAGGGTGGTTTTCAGATGTAATTATTATGAAAGTAAAGAATATTTAACTTTGGCCCTGGCTGATATGACTCAGTTTGTGGGAGCGTTGGTCAGGGCACATACCCAGGTTTCAGGTTCGATCTCTCATCCAGCGTGTGCAGCAGGCAACTATTGGTGTTGCTCTCTCACGTTAGTGTTTCTCTGTCTCTCTCCTTTCCTTCCTGTCTCTGAGATCATTACAGATATCTTTTTTGCTGTTGTTGTTAATCTTCACCTGAGGATATTTTTCCACTGATTTTCAGAGAGAGTGGAAGGGAGGGAGGGAGAGAGAGTGAGAGAGAAACATCAATGTGAGAGAGACACATCGATTGGTTGCCTCCTATATGACCCTAACAGGAGCTGGGGATAGAACCTACAAGCCAGTTTTGTGCCCTTGACTGGGAATCGAACCCAAGACATTGTAGTCCGGGGGTGACGCTCTAACAACTGAGTCAAACTGGCCAGGACCAAATATCTTTTTTTTTAAGTAGAATATTTAACTTTGGAGGAATAAAAATTGGTTCAGTCATTTTAACTTTTATTAACAGAATATAAAAGATGATTTGGTTCTGGCTGGTGTGACTCAGTTGGTTGGACATCATCTGGTACACTGAAGGGTTGCCAGTTTGATTCTGTATGGCGGGGAATGTGCCCAGGTTCAGGGCTTGATCCCCTGTGGGAGGCTTTTGGGAGGCAACCAGTCAATGTTTCTCTCTCACATAGATGTTTCTCACTTTTTCTCTCCCTTCCTCTCTCTCTAAAAATCAATAAAAACATTAAAAATAAATAAATAAAAGATTATTTGAAATTATAAGAGTATGGTGAGTTTATTTACTAACAGATGAGGGATAAATTGACAGGAAGGAGGTATAACTTTTGATTTACATTTTTTGGTGTTACAGTTGACCAATTTTTATTTTATTTTACCTTTTTATTGAATTTATTGGGATGGCACTTGTTAACAAAATTATTCAAGTTTCAGGTGCATAATTCTGTGATATATTATCTGTATACTGTATGTTCACCACCCCAAGTCAATGACCAATTTTATTAACAGAAATTAGTCTTAAAGAATATGAACAGCCTAGCCAGTGTGGCTCAGTGGTTGAACATCCCTTGGGCTGAGAGGTCCCGATTCGATTCCTGGTCAGGGCACATCAGGCTTGATCCCCAGTAGGGGGCATATATAAGTCCTCACCTGAGGATATTTTTTTTATTTATCTTCAGATAGAGTGGGAAGGAGAGAAAAGGAGAGAGAGAAAACCATCAGCGTGAGAGGGACACATCAACTGGTTGCCTCCTGCGTGACCCCGACCAGGGCCAGGGATGAACCGCAACCAAGGTACGGGCCTTGCCTGGAATTGAACCTGAGACTCGTTGGTCTGAGGGCTGATGCTCTACTGCTGAGCCAAACTGGCCAGGGCTCTGCCTTTTTAGTAAGATAGATTGACCTACCTAATGGTACTACTATGTTATAATTTTCATAATCGAATGATAATAGAATCTACCCCATATGGAGTCACTGACACTTATAATTGGAAGTGACTTGGGAAATTGTTTTCTTTATGAACCATTTTAATTTGTAGAAATTAATTAATTATTATTATGTAAGGGTAAGCATGGTTCCAGATAGAAAACAATATAAATCAGTTGACTAACTTGTGGCATGATGCTTTTTTTTAATTGAACAGTGGTAGTTCTTTTTTCCCAAAGATCTATAACTGTCTGTATTCTTTTTCATTTCTGGGAGAAGTAAAAACAGAGTGCTTGTTTTCTTTTTGAAAAGCTCATACTTTTTCAATCATCATTTAAAAAAATTTTTTTCTTTATTTACTTTTTAGAGAGAGGGGAAGGAAGAGGGAGAGAGAGATAGAAACATTGATGAGAGAGAACATTGATTGGCTGCCTCTTGCATGTCCTCCACTAGGGATTTGGCCCATAACCTGGACATGAACCCTGACTGGGAATCGAACTGGCGACCTCTTGGTGCATGGATTGATGCTCAACCACTGAGCCACCTTGGCTGGGATCAGTCATCTTTATAAAATACAAATAAATGTTACAAATGGTCTAGTTTTTATTTATATAATTACCTAGCCTCTAAAAAAATATCCTTTCAATTTTGGCTTAAATTAGGCTACCAAAAAATTAGATTAGTTAAGAAAAATTTCAGGATAATTTTTTAGGTATCGGCTTCATTATTGAATCATTTTAGAGCAATGCAGATTATTTCTGATTCTCACTGATACTTCTCTCTAGAAATGCATGATGGCATTTCCTGTGGCATTATAGAACTTTCCTGAGATAGCCCATGTGTTATCGCTCAAATGATCTCTGTTCCTAAGTCATGTCCTAGATGAAAGAGTAACAAGGAGGATGTCTTCACTTTTTCTCATCCCTTGGTGATTCTGGCACATGTACGCACATAGTGGACTTTCATAAATAATTTTTCTTTATTGATTTTAGAGAGAGAGAAAGGGAGAAGGAGAGAGAGAGAAACATCAGTGAGAGAGAACATCGATTGGCCGCCTCCTGCATGCCCCCACTGGTGATCAGGCCCACAACCTAGGCATGTGTCCTGACCAGGAATCGAACTGGTGACCTCTCAGTGCATGGGTCGATGCTCAACCACCGAGCCACACCAGCTGGGCTAAAATTTGTGATTACATATATGATTTCTGTATTTTAAAAAGAAGTATGATGTTTATAAACCAGTTGAGAAATTGTTTCTGTAGCACAGTATGATACACCTCTTGCTAACTGCTAGAAAGTCTTTGTGGAATTCTTGAACTCAATATAAGTCGGGAGCTTTGTTTAGTCTCAAAATATTATTTAATCTTGCTTTATCTGGTCAATTTATTTTGATTTTATGTTGCTTCCAGACCAAGAGCAGTGATGACCTTTTAGCTGGAATGGCTGGAGGGGTGACCGTGACTAATGGTGTTAAAGGAAAGAAAAGTACCTACCCTTCCGCAGCATCTTCAGCATCTGCCCCTGCCATGACCACCGTGGAGAACAAATCCAAAATTAGTACAGGTATGCGTGGTGTTCAGTCTAAGAATTAAACCGCCTCTGTGTTTGACTAGGCAGGGGCGGTATTAGGGAATTCCATCTAATTATAGAAAATTTCAAACATGTACAAAAATAAACTGATTGTTGTTTCAACCCATGTACTACTTAACTGCTGGCCAGTCTTAACTCACTGACTCCCACCTTTTCTCCCTTACTATTTTTAAGTTCATTCCAGATGTCCTATAATTTTATTCACAAATATTTCATTATCTTTGAAATATAAGGATTTTAAAAAGAATATAATCACACCACCATCATCAGTCCTTAAAATAATCATTCCTTAAATCGTAAATTATTCAATAAGTATTTATATTTCCAACTGTCTAATAAACATTATGGGTACATACTTTTACTGTTTAGTTGTTTGAATCAGGATTCATTTAAGATTAGTATGTAATAATTGGTAATGTGCCTCTCTTCAGTCTTTTGTTTTAAATGTATGTTTTTTTTCTTGCAATTTAATTTTTATAGAAACTGATTGTTTGGCCTGTAAAGTTTTCTATGATCTAGATTTTTTTATATCCCCAGGATGTCCTTGACTATGTTCCCTTGTTCTCTCTGTTTACTTTAAATGTCATTGGATCTAGGTCCTTGATGGCACAGATTCAGGTTCCTTTTTTACCCCAGGACTCCTTCATAGGTGGTAGTTGTCCATTTGCAGGAGGCACGTCATCTCTGATTGTCTTTCTTTCCATGATGTTAGCAGCTTTTGATGATCAATGCCTAGATCCATTCATTCCAGTTCACCATTCATTCTTTGTTCATTGGTAGCAGTTTGATTTTAGATTTGATGGAGTCCATATATTATTTCTATAGTCCAAGGAGTAATGCTATCATATTTTACTTTTACACTTACAGAAAGAAACTTTAAAACTTCTAACAAACATAAGGTTATGTGTTTGTAATAAAGCTTCGAAAGAAAATTGCCAAATATTATAGCAGATCTTTTATCATCATTATTTAGCCCTTCTTGTGTGTATCAGACTTTTTTCTAGCCCAGGTTTACCTATTGTCCTTTTTTCTGCCTTAACCTTCTGTGGATTCTTCCTTCCTTTCCAGATTGTGTCCCACTGTTAATTATAACAGCAGTGTGGTATGATTACCAGGAGGAAACCTGTAAGTCTTTACTTTGCGCTTTTCAGGCATTATTCTATTTTATCCTCACTATAGCCTTATGAGGTAGAGGCTGTTATTATCCTGATTTTTAGAGATGAGGAAGTTCTGCATAGAAAGCTCAAGTATCTTGCCCCAGACTGTGCATTCCTTTGCTCAGTATGTTGGATGCCCATTATTTTGTACCAGTCCACAAAGCTGGTGGTGGAGCAAGAGCTAAACCTTAGGTCTTTTTCTCTCAAGTCGGGGACCATCACCACCACACTGTTGTGTGGTTAAAAAGAAATTAAATACTCTAATCTCATCTATATCTCTTTCTATTTCTAGCCTTTAGTATTTATTGGGAGAGACCCCATGTATTTGCACTTGTGGTTTCCCACTGACCAGTACCACCTGGCCTCACAAGGCTGAACTCAGTTATCACCTCCCTGAATCAGTATTAGTTTGCTATGGCTGCCATAACTAAATACCACAGACTGGATTGCTTAAACAACAAATTTAGCTTCTCACTGTTCTGAAGGCTGGAAGTCTGAGATGAAGGCATCAGCAGGTTTGGTTTCTTCTGAAGCCTTTCTTCTTGGTTTGCAGATGGCAGCCTTCTCATTGTGTCCTTACATGGTCATGTGTCTATCTGTGTCTGTGTCCTAATGTCATCTTGTAAGGACACCAGTCATATTGTATATGGCCCACTCTAAAAACCCTGTGTTAATTAACTTAATTACTTCTTTAAGTTAATTACTCTAGCTCCAAGTACAGTCACATTGTGAAGTACTGGGGTTATGGCTTCAGCATGTGAATTTGAGGGACACAGTTCAGCTCATAAAAACATCCTAAATTCTTCAGTTCATCTGCTCTACCTTTACTTACTCCTGATGACTTGTCTGTACCTGAGATTATTCCATCTATTCATCATAATAATTCCAGAAAGGGAGCTTTTTTCCTTCCATGTTATGTTTCTGCCTTTTTTCTTGTTTCTTTACCATTCCTTTCCTTTTGGGACATTTGCATTTCTTTTGCTCATTACTGGCTCCTTCCTTTTTGTCTCTCATTTATGCACAGATCTTTTTTTTTTAGCCTGGTTTTGGTTTAGTTAAGAAAGATGATGCTTTGAGTTATAGAAATGGGGAAGAGAATTAATATTAAGGGAAAATCTTTTTTTTTTTTAATCCTCGCCCGAGGACATTTTTTTTTTTGTTCAAATAGAGTAGGAGAGAGAGAGAGAGAGAGAAACATCGATGTGAAAGGGACACATCGAATGGCTGCCACCCGCACGACCAACTAGGGCTGGGGACAAACTGTAACCGAGGTACGTGCCCTTAGCAGGAACTGAACCCGGGTCTCTCCGGACTGCAGGCCGACGTTCTAATCGCTGAGCCAAACTGGACAGGGCAAGGGAAAATCTTACCAGTCCTTGTCCTCTTTGGTGTCTTTTGCAGTTGTTTCTCCCAGTCCTGTTACTTGTCCCTTTGAAATCTGTTACTGATTTATTATCCCTTCTCTGTTTTTACAGAGATCTAGATCTTACTCCCTGAATGTAGGACTTTCTCTGTTTTCACTGCACTACCTGCTCAAGTTTCTCCTTCACTATTCTTCCTCCTTATATGTTCCACTTAGCATCATCTAGATTCATTTCCATAAAAAGTCTCTTTATTTATGTTTCCTCCCTGCTCAGGAATATTTGTTGACCTCTGTGACTCACTGAATTCTCCGTGACATTCAGGTCTCTATAGACATCTTCCCCTGCTGCTTTTGTTAACTGTGTGGCCTTACTTTACCTTTTTATGTGCCATGCTCATCTACTCATTTGTCTTGTGGCCAGACATAATTCCCTTCCCTCCACTACACCTGAGACCTGGCAAAATTACTGTCTTCCTCCATCATGTAGATCTTTTGTTCCTTGTTACCTTTGTGGCCTGGTGCGAGCTACATAAAGAATCAGTAGATTCTTTAAAAATACTCTTTGATTAGGTCTAGGTATTATTTTTCAAAGTAAAAAATATTCTAATTCTTTCTTTCTTTTTAAATAATATTAAATACCTTTATTTAAGATTTCAGGAAAATGAGGTAGTTGCAGACATTGATGGGCAACAAGAAGAACTCCTAGCACATACTGGGCTGTGTTCATCTTGCTCTAGTCACATTTCTTCCCATATGAAAAATTTCCCATTACCTCCTCAACTTTCCTATTCTGTTATTCTATTTAGCACCGTTGTGTCCATTATCTCCCTTCTTACATTATGCTATGTGCATTAAAAAAAAAAACAACAACAACATGCTGACATGTGCTCCCTTTGTGCCAAATATTAGAGAACTGTAGATTCAATATAAATACTGTGAAGAGCTTGTATTCTTTTTTTTAATCCTCACCCAGGGATACTTTTCTGTTTATCATCAGATAGAGTGGGAGTAAGGGGAAGAGAAAGAGACAGAGACATCGACATGAGAGAGACACGTTGACCTGTTGCCTCCCACATTACCCGACCAGGGCTGGGAACTGAACCAAGGTGTGTGTCCTTGACCGGAATCGAACCCGGGACTCTTTGGTCCATGGGCTAGTGTTCTAACCGCTGAGCCAAACTGGCCAGGGTGAAAGCTTATGTTCTTAATAGGTCTACAGTGGTGTCCCCCTACCTGTCACTGGCCTAATCTGTTTCAGTATTTGCTACACCAGGACACTAAGTCTGAGGAGAGATAAATGACTTTCCAGAGGTCACATAAGCCCAAAAGTTGCATATAAGATTTCTTGTTCAGGTCTGTACATATGTGATAAGATCTTGAGCCACAACCTAAACTTGGCTTGTGCCGAGAACCAGCTGGTTCTGAAGCTGCGGGCTAAGTGTCTGCTTCAGGAACTGTTGACTGCAGGGCTGCCCAGAGAGAGACGGTCAGGAGGCAGTGTTGGTCCACCCCTGTCAGGACCTCAGGGCAGACCTCACCCCAGCTGCTCATATCTAGTTTCCTACCTAACATTTCCCCCTTAAGTTATGGGAACCCAATTTTTTTTTTTTTTATCCTTACCCGAGGATATTTTTCCATTTTTTGTACAGATAGAGTGGGAGGGAGAGAGAGGAAGGGAGAGAGAGAGAGAGAGAAACATCGACGTGAAGGGACACATCGAGTGGCTGTCACCCGCACGACCAACCAGGGCCAGGGACAAACTGCAACCGAAGTACGTGCCCTTAGCGGGAACCGAACCCAGGTTTCTCCGGACCGCAGGCCGATGCTCTAACCACTGAGCCAAACTGACCAGGGCTGGGAACCCAATTCTTTGGTGTCTTTTGGGAGAAGACTGCTCTGGCTGCTTCACGCTGATCAGGGTCATCGTGGGGCTTTGGGTTCCCATAATTGTTGTCAGCTGAAGGAGGTGGCTGCTAATGTTCATCCAGGGACCCAAAATAAGGAGTCTGTTCTGTGAGAGTGAGGACTTGGTATCCTTTAGACAGTACCATTTGGGACTCTATGGCTGCTGCACCGGCCAGGGCTGTTGTTATTTATATGGCATTCTGTGACATGAAATTTTTTGCATTTATTTTGGTCATATTTTTTGTATTTGTTGTAGGTAGCTTAGATTTTTGGTTTGTCCAGAGGCTACCTTTCCCTTTTTTTATGTGATTTTTCTTTACCACCTGTTTCTATAGTTAATTTACCACTTGACTGACTAATCCTAGAGTTACCTTCATCTAGCTTGCTCTAGAATATTATGTTTCTGGCCACTTGTTTAAAGCCATGGTTTAGGATTCAAGTTAATGTGTATAACATTTTTTTTTTAATATAACAGCTATATTGAGATATACTTCAATGTATAACTTCTTTTTCATTGAAAGTTAAAAGATGAATGATCTTCTGGTTTTGAGGAAACTGAATTTTAAGGTAACCAGACTCTAAGGCAAGATTAATATAGGTCAAAATCAATGTGTAGATCCCTACATTTGTATCATTAGACCTGGGGCATAAACTGTGTGCTTTTTTATTACTAATATTTTTTCCTTAAATTCTTTGTTTTAAACATGTAGGCACAAGTTCTTCAACCAAGCGGAGCACTTCCACAGGTAATAAAGAATCCAGTTCTGCTAGAGAAAGATTACGGGAACGCACCAGGCTAACCCAGAGCAAAAAACTACCTTCTGCAGGTCAGGGAGCTAATGAAGTGGCACTGGCTAAACGTTCCCGCAGTCGCACTGCTACGGAATGTGATGTTCGCATGAGCAAGTCTAAATCGGACAATCAGATCAGTGACAAAGCTGCTCTGGAAGCCAAAGTGAAAGATCTTCTCACACTGGCAAAAACCAAAGACGTGGAAATTTTGCATTTGAGAAATGAATTACGAGACATGCGTGCTCAATTGGGCATTAATGAAGAACATTCTGAGAGTGATGAAAAATCTGAGGAGAAGGAAGCCATTATTGTTCACCAGCCAACTGATGTTGAGTCCACTTTATTGCAGTTACAGGAACAGAACACTGCCATCCGTGAAGAACTCAACCAACTGAAAAATGAAAACAGAATGTTAAAGGACAGGTTGAATGCTTTGGGCTTTTCCCTAGAGCAGAGGTTAGACAATTCTGAAAAATTGTTTGGCTATCAGTCCCTGAGCCCAGAAATCGCCCCTGGTAACCAGAGCGATGGAGGAGGGACTCTGACTTCTTCAGTGGAAGGTTCTGCCCCTGGGTCAGTGGAGGATCTTTTGAGTCAGGATGAAAACACCCTCATGGACCATCAGCACAGTAACTCTATGGACAATCTCGACAGCGAGTGCAGTGAGGTCTACCAGCCCCTCACGTCAAGCGATGACGCCCTGGATGCACCATCGTCCTCAGAGTCAGAAGGCATTCCCAGCACAGAGCGCTCTCGGAAGGGAAGCAGTGGGAATGCTAGTGAAGTGTCAGTTGCTTGCTTGACAGAACGGATACACCAGATGGAAGAGAACCAACACAGTACGAGTGAGGAACTTCAGGCAACTCTGCAAGAGCTAGCTGATTTACAACAGATTACCCAAGAACTGAATAGTGAAAACGAAAGGCTCGGAGAGGAGAAGGTTATTCTGATGGAGTCTTTATGTCAGCAAAGTGATAAGTTGGAGCACTTTAGCCGACAAATTGAATATTTCCGCTCCCTTCTAGATGAACATCACATTTCTTATGTCATAGATGAAGATGTAAAAAGTGGACGCTATATGGAATTGGAACAACGTTATATGGATCTAGCTGAGAATGCCCGTTTTGAACGAGAGCAGCTCCTTGGTGTCCAGCAGCATTTAAGTAATACTTTGAAGATGGCAGAACAGGACAATAAAGAAGCTCAAGAAATGATAGGGGCACTCAAAGAACGTAATCACCATATGGAGCGAATTATTGAGTCTGAGCAGAAGGGTAAAGCGGCCTTGGCAGCCACATTAGAGGAGTACAAAGCCACAGTGGCCACTGACCAGATCGAGATGAACCGCCTAAAGGCCCAGCTGGAGAATGAAAAACAGAAAGTGGCGGAGCTGTATTCCATCCATAACTCGGGAGACAAATCTGATATTCAGGATCTCCTGGAGAGTGTCAGGCTGGACAAAGAAAAAGCAGAGACTTTGGCTAGTAGCCTACAGGAAGATCTGGCTCATACTCGAAATGATGCCAATCGATTGCAGGACACCATTGCAAAGGTACTGTTTAGGTAGATAAAATGTTCTGGATCAGCACCATACAGCTTTGGTACACAGCATGCTTACTGAGCGCCAGCATCACTTGTATGGGGTGTCATTAGCTTTGTTGTTGTTGTTGTTGTTGTTATATATATACTCATCCGCGGATATTTTTTCCATTTATCTTCAGATAGAGTGGGAGGGAGAGAGAGAAAGAGAAAGAAAGAAACATCGATGTAAGAGAGACACATCGATTGGTTGTCTCTCACACAACCCCGACCAGGGCTGGGGACTGAACTGCAATCGAGGTATGTGTCCTTGACTGGAATTGAGCCTGCGACTCTCTAGTCCAAGAGCTGACGCTCTAACCACTGAGCCAAACCAGCCAGGGCTAGCTAGCTTGTTTAATCTAATTTTTTTTTTTTTTTTTTATCCTCACCCGAGGACATTTTTCGATATTTTGTTCAGATAGAGTGAGAGGGAGAGAGAGAGAGAAACATCGACGTGAAAGCGACACATTGAGTGGCTGCCACCCACACAACCCAACCAGGGCTGGGGACAAACTGCAACCAAGGTACGTGCCCCTAGTGGAAACCGAACCCGGGTCTCTCCAGACCGCAGGCCGACGCTCTAACCGCTGAGCCAAACCGGCCAGGGCTAATCTAATACTTTTGAAGCTTGAGGATGGTTTTCTCTTACTGAGATAGAGTGAAAAGTATTTTTTTATTAAAAAAAATTTTTTTTCTTGCTTTGGCCGGTTTGGCTCAGCGGTTAGAGTGTCAGCCTACAGTCCAGAAAGACCCAGGTTTGGTTCCCGCTAAGGGCACGTGCCTCAGTTGCAGTTTGTCCCCGGCCCTGGTTGGGTCGTGCTGGTGGTGGCCACTCGATGTGTCCCTTTCACGTCGATGTTTTTCTCTTTCTCTCTTTCTCCTTCCCACTCTATCTGAACAAAAAATGGAAAAATGTCCTCGGGTAAGGATTAAAAAAAATTTTTTTTTCTTTTTATTGCTTTTAGAGAGAGGAAGAGAGAGGGAGAGATAGAAGCATGAGCAAGAACATTGATTGGCTGCCTCCTGCATGCCCCACACTGAGGATTGGGCCCACAACCTGGGCATGTGTCCTGACTGGGAATTGAACCAGCAACCTCTTGTTGCATGGGTCAATGCTCAACAACTGAGCCACACTGGCCAGGCAGAGTGAAAAGTATTCTTCTAATAATCTCACTTTCACTTGTTTGCACTTTGTTCCTGTTTTCCTGCCTGTAATAGAATAGGGCTAGAGTTGTAACTAACAACAGAATTTGTCCCTGGTTCTGGGTACACCCAGAGGAGCATGTCATGCAATTTTACATCCTCATTTCTGATGTATTTTGGCATAAGAAAGATGGAGAGCCAGTATTCCAGGTGGTATGTGCCACTTCTTATCCTGTTGTGGTTGTAGATTTTCAAACAGAGTTCTGTTGTGAGTAAAAAAAAATATTTTTGGAGTGTGGAGACTCCTTTTTCTTAGAGACCTGCTGTGTTTTGTTGCTGGTGGGGACCTTTGAGATCTTTAGTCCAGTTCCCTGTTTTACATGCAGTATGTTTGTGAGGACTCAGAACTGCACCCCAGGGTTGCTAGCACCTTGGCCAAGGCTCTGTGCCCCACCTGATTGCTGATGCAGTGTTTATTTGCATGAATTATATAATTAGTCTTATCTCACATTTTGTTTTCTATTTTAGTGCAATGATTTTTAAAGTAAGAAATACTAGTATGTCTTTGGCTAAATTTTGAATAATTTAGACTTAATTTTTATATATATATGTTGGGGGCATTATGAACTAATACTTTTGCAATGATAATATTTGAGATTGTTTTGTTTCCATTATTAATTTGATACTGCAACTGTCACAAATGGGGAAAGAGAGACACATCAATATGAGAGATACATACCGACTGGTTGTCTCCTGCACCAGCCCTACTAGGGCCTGGGATAGAATTGCAACTGAGTATACATGCCCTTGACTAGAATGGAACCTGCGACTCCTTGGTTCGTGAGTTGACACTCTAACCGCTGAGCCAAATGGGCCAGGGCTGTAGAGTGCTTTGTCATACTTTCAACCAGTTATACAGGTCATTTTAGTTCATGCAGAGCAACTCATACATAGCGTCCATTCAAAACGGTATACCTCAGTTCTAGAATTTATCTTAAAACAACTCTAACTTTTCTAATCTATACCATCAATTCCATATAGGTAGAAGATGAATACAGAGCCTTCCAAGAAGAAGCTAAAAAACAAATAGAAGATTTGAACATGACATTAGAAAAATTAAGATCAGAGCTGGAAGAAAAAGAGACAGAAAGGAGTGACATGAAAGAAACCATTTTTGAACTTGAAGATGAAGTAGAACAACATCGAGCCGTGAAACTTCATGACAACCTCATTATTTCTGATTTAGAAAGTAAGTGATGTGGGAACATTTTATTCCTTTTTGTCCTTCCTATTAACATGTCAGAGTAGTATACACTCAGTAACAAAATAAAAATAAGTAATTCTGACTGCAGTAGCGGTAACACAGTGGCTAGCAGAAATATACATTTGATAAAGAATAATCCAAATGTTAGTTGACAGTCTTTGGACTGATGTGTTTTGTTCCTGAAGAACTCTAAGTGGAAGCATTACTTTAAAACTGTGCTTAATTTTGGAAAATTATTTAAGTGAAAAACTAATGAGGTTATTTTCTAGATCTTAGGAAAAAACATTTATTATCTACTTCTAGTGATTGTAAGTGTACTGAGAAAAAAAAAATATTGATCCTTCATAATCTTGTGCCTAAAACACAGGTTTTTATTTATTTGTCTGATTTTCCTCCCTACCATGGAGATTTTATAATCTGGTAGAACTGAGACTCAGATTTTAAGTTACTTTGTTTGCTTTTTAAAATAAAAGTTTTTTAAAACTATGTTGTGGTTATTTCAGATTTATAAAAATGTTGCTAAAATAGTACAGAGCACTTTTTTGAGAAGATTTGATGAGGAACAGAAATTTGCATGATATTAAAATGACTTCCCACAGACTGTTTATTATGTTGCAAGTGAAAAAAAGAAACAACAGAAATTATACAATGGAAAATTTGGGCTACCTTTTAACAGGGTGATCATGTTAAGTGACAGAGGCACATAGATATTGGATGCATTAGCTAGGCTGTATTCTGGCTGAGACATAACTTCAGTTAATCTTAGAGAAACATTAAACAGACAAAAAAATGAGGCATGTTTTTTACTAAAAATGCAGGAGTGGGTAGTGCTATATTCCTTAAAAAAAAAAAAAAAATGCAAGTATCCTAAAAGATGAAGGCTATGCAAATGTTCTGAATTAAAGGAGGCTACGGAGACATGGCAGTTTTTGGTTTTCTTTTTAATTCTTTTTTTTTTTCTTTATTGATTTTTTAGAGAAGTTACAGGGAGAGAGAAATAGAAACATCGATGGAGAGAACATTGATTGGCTGCCTCCTGCATGCCCCCCACAGGGGATTGGGCCCACAACCTGGGCATGTGCCCTGACCGGGAATGGAACCAGTGACCTCTTGGTACATGGGTCGATGCTCAGTCACTGAGCCACACCAGCCGGACCTGACAGTTAAATGCAATACTTGTGCCTAGACTGAGTCCAGTACTGCAGGGGGGAGTGCTATAGTGTATATTATGACAAAATTGGAATGTGAATGGTAGATTAGATAAACACATATCAGTATAAATTTATGAAGTTGATTACTGTGTTTATGTGAAAGAATGTCCCCATGAACCTTTATATCCTTAAAGGGTTCAGAGAAAAATTAGGGATAGACAGAGAGGCAGTCAGACAGCAATAGAAGACAGCAAATTATAAAACCAATGGGTAAGCTTAACAATAGACAAATCTGAGTAAAAGGGTATGTGGATGTTCTTTGTAATATTTTTTGCATGATTTTTTAAAGTTTGAAGTTATTTCCAAATAATACACTTAAAAATGCTATGATTCCCCAAATGTTAACAAATTTAAGTTGTAATACACTTTAATGATGTCCAGGTGAGGACAAGGAGAATGGGAGTAACCTTTTAGGGATGCATTGGTAAACTCATTAACCTTGCCTGAGGGTTGATAGGCAGTATAGCATTGAGCCAGATCTCAAGTGCTATGGATGCAAAGGTGGGGAGGTGGGGAGGTTTGAACTATTTCCAGGAGAGAGTGGGTCATTTGCAAGAACCCCAAACATGTCTTGTGGTGGTTCTGAGTTCTAGCTAGTTGACTCCACATCTGGAGATTGACCCCAAAGTTATTCAGAACATTCTGAAATATCTGGACACTAAATTAGGTGACTGTGGCACTATATTTCTTGGAGATAGTGATAGTCATAGAGATAAACTTTCTCTAAAGTTTTTTTTTTTAATTAAAAAATATGTTTTTATTGATTTTGGAGAGAGAAGAAGGCAGAGGGGGAGAGAGAGAAACATCCATCATTTGCCTTTTATACACAGTACACACACCAGCCAGCTTCCATACCCAGAACCTGGTCATGTGCCCTGACTAGGAATCGAACTGATGACCTTTTAGTGCACAGAACGATGTTCAGCCAGCTGAACCACACCAGCAAAGGCTGAAGTTTTTAAAAACTTTTATTTTGCTTGGTGTGGCTCAGTGGTTGAGCATTGACTCCTGAACCAGGAGGTTGCCGGTTCAGTTCCCGGTTAGGGCACATGCCCAGATTGTGGGCCCGATCCCCAGTGCGGGGCATGCAGGAGGCAGCCAGTCAATGTTCTCTCTCTCTCTCCCTCTCCCTCTCTCTTCCTCTCTCTCTAAAAGTTAATAAAGAAAAATAAAATAAAAACCATTTTAACATTTATATCTAGTTTTTATTTTGTTATCTCTCAACTGAGAGGACTTATCTAATTTTACTTACTAAATGTAAGAGGTTCTAAAGTTTTCAGATTACTTGGAAGCTCAATGCATTTTTCCATTTAGTACTGATAATAGCCTTTTCCCTCATAAAACTTTTTTAAATTCTCATCTGAGGATTTTTTTCCATTGATCTTTTGGATAGAGTGGAAGGGAGGGAGGGAGAGAGAGAGACAGAGAAAGAGTAAGAAAGAGAGAAAGAGAAACATTGATGTGAGAGAGACATATAGATTGATTGCCTCCTACAGGACTGGGGCCAGGCATCAGTCCTTCAACCCTTAGGTGTGTGGGCCAATGCTCTAACCGCTGAACCAACACTAACAGCTGAGCCAAAACTGCCAGGGCTCCCTCATAAAACTTTTTATTTGAATGTGGAAAGAGTGACACCTTGTGGTAATTGCTAGAGAAATGTTTGCTAATAAGGATTCTCAGGAAAAGTTTTATAAATCATTGCCAAAATAAAATTACATTAACACTATGTGGATTTTGATTTTATATAAAATGGCTGAAAGCTCTGAATAAATTATATTGCTTCTCAATTTTTTGAAATACAAAGTTCAAATATGCAGAAATACTGCAAGAATGGTATAATTAGCACCCACTGCCGAGATTTGACAATTGTTAACATTCTGCAGTATTTTGTATGTATGTGTGTTTAACTGAGCCAGTTGACAGTAAGTTGTAGACCTCATGACACTTAACTCCTAAATATTTCAACATGCAACTCCTACTAAACCAGTGGTTCTCAACCTTCCTAATGCTGTGACCCTTTAATACAGTTCCTTATGTTGTGGTGACCCCCAACCGTAATATCATTTTTGTTGCTACTTCATAACTATAATTTTGTTACTGTTATGAATCGCCATCGGAAATATGTATTTTCCAATGGTCTTAGGCGACCCCTGTGAAAGGATCATTCGACCCCCAAAGGGGTTGCAACCCATAGGTTGAGAACTGCTGTACTAAACAGTCTCCTCCTAACCACAATACTGTTATCACATTTAGTAAAATTAGTTATAATTCCCTAGTATATTCAAATTTTAAATATCTTTTATAAGAACCAACATCCTAACAAGTTGCATACATTACAATTAGTTGTTATATCTCCATAGTCTGAGTTAATTTTTTTACCTAGAGAATTTTAGCATTTGGGATTGATGGTAAGTCAGCACTTGGTATAGGGGACTTGATGACAAGGACTGCTGTTTTTGAGAAATTGAGATATTCTGTGAAATCTTTTAACAACCATTACTGTAGTAAATTTTAGAACTTTTTCATCACCCCTAAAAGAAACCCTGTCTGTTAGTAGTCACTCCTCATTTATTTCAAAATGATTCTGACTTTGGAATTAATGGATGGCTATTGTAACTGTATTCAAGACATAGAGGAAAATACACTGGTACTGAATGAACAGATCTCAGCACAGAAGTAAAAACTGTAAAAAAGAACCTAGTAGGTATTTTAGAACTGAAAATTTTAACAGCTAATATAAAAGTTTGTCAAATCATGCCCTGGCCGGTTTGGCTCAGCGGTTGGAGCGTCAGCCTGTGGTCCTGAGAGACCTGGGTTCGGTTCCCGCTAAGGGCACGTACCTCGGTTGCAGTTTGTCCCCGCCCTAGTAGGTCGTGCGGGTGGCAGCCACTTGGTGTGTTCCTTTCACTTCGATGTTTCTCTCTCTTTATCTGTTCCTCTCTCTCCCTCCCACTCTACCTGAACAAAAAATGGAAAAATGTCCTCGGGTGAGGATAAAAAACAAACAAACAAACCAATAAAAAGTTTGTCAAATCATATAAATAGCAAATTAGAGATATAGCAGAGCCAGTGAACTTGAAGATCAATTAGACATTTTTCAGGCTGAAGGACAGAGACAAAAAAGATTTAATAATAAAAACCGAGTAGGGCATCAGTGCTCTGTGGAACAGAATTATAAGGCATACTATACAGTTGGGTCCCAGATTGCCTCCCAGATGATAGCAGTGCCATACTGCTGAGACCTGGTCTGCAGTACTTTTCAGAAAGTGGTGCTTGGATTTAGCATCTATGCTAGAAAGATCCAATGTAAAAACTTAGCAAATACTGTAAATACTGTTCAAGTTGATGGCCTGAGGTTATGTATATATTTCTACATGCTCCTAAAGTCCTAGTGATATGGCAAGAGAAGTGTAAAAATTATAATGAACCTAAAGCAAAGATTGAAAACGGGAAAGTTCCCATCAGTAGATCAACAATTTTAAGTACTGGACTATATAAAGCAGATGGAATTGGGAGTATGGAAAAATCAAACTACAGAAAAACCTACAGTCCAGGAGAACACAAGCTCTGAGTAAATATGTTTCCAGCAAGACTTTGGGAATGGGGGGCACTAAAACCCCCACCTCAGGATTGTAGGAACTAGAACCAGCCACAGTTTTAGGCCATGGTGTAAAGGATTACCAGAAGCCTTGTACCACTCTTCTCTGTAGGGTGCCTGCTCTGGTGTTTGCCCCTAGGCTGCTGCTGGGCTTGAACTCTTTTTCTAAATAAGGAGGAGAATATGGTGCCCGTGGCTCCTAGCATGACTTCAATATCAGTAATTTTAAAATGAGGTCATAGTAGTACTTCCGTTCTTTGATAGAGTTAAATGTTGCTTTTGATTTGGACAGTAGATGGCAGTGTCCCTCACGCTAGAAAAACTTTGAAGAAGGAAAACTGCGTTTAGAATCTCCAGAGTTGAAGACACGTGCTTTTTGTGTGACCATTAATTGGGCTAAGCTAGTTTTCAAGGCAAGAACTTAAGCATAGACTCCTTTGTTTCTAAGGAGGAAAAGCCTGTTGACTTTTTAAATTCTTTATGTTGCAAAGTAAAAATACAATCATAATTTGTAAAGTTTAAATCAAATTCCCTAGAGACACTTAGTGTACTTTATTTTTCCTAAATATATCCACTGGCTGCCAGCTTCTCTTCTATTTAAAAGGAATAATAAGCCTGGCTGGTGTGGCTCAGTAGTTGAGCATCATCATCCCATGCACGAAGAGGTTACCAGTTTGATTCTTGGTGCCTGTGTTGTGGGCTCGATCCCTTGGGGGTGGGAAAGGAGGGGGGTGCAGGAGGCAGCCGATGGATGTTTCTCTATCATTGATGTTTCTGTCTATCTCTCCCTTCCTCCCTCTCTAAAAATCAATAAAAGCATATTAAATAAGAATAAAAGGAGTAATAAGGTATGACAATAATAAATATGCTGTGTTGGGTATAGAAGAATGTTCTTTTAAGATTAGTGATTGTGTGAATTCTGTGGCCATTAATGTAGAGATTGTTAAGTAGAAAAGGATAAGAACAAAAGAAATGAATGAAATTTGGAATTTTATGATCAGTCTAAGATTACCATGTGGCTTAAAATGTCATCTGCGAATCAAGACACAGATGTGAAAAGGGAGCTGAGGAAGATTTGCAGTCATTTGTTTTGTGTGGATTATGTAAACATAGGTAGATGTATCTATCCTTTGAGACTAGAAGAGAAGGAAAACTATTTTCAACAGAGGAGAAATTATACTTTTTTGTTTTCTTACCTGTTTTAATTATAAAATTCTTGCATAAATGGATAGTGTAAGGCGTAATCCCTTGTGTTTTCAACACTAGAAATATCTCAGTTCTGTCCTTACTCTTTAATCTATGTCTGATAATATCACCAAGATCCTGAATCCGTCCTCAAACAGCCAAGTTACCATGCTGGTTTCCGAGTGTAATCCTTGTATTGGACTCACCCATTCACCTTGGTGTTCACTTTGCCCTTAACCAAATCAGGTGACCTATTGATCCTTAGTTTCCAGGTTAAATTAGGTCTGAGGTAGCTTGTATAGAGACAGACTTTTAAATGAATGAAATTTTCATATGAAAACATCCATCTGTGCTAGGTGGACACAAGCCTGGTCTTTCCATCTCTAAGACAGTAGGGATTGTATCTTTTTTTCCTTTCCTTATATTTTAAGCCCCTAGAAAAAGCCTTTGTACCAGCTTCCCCGGTACAAAGTAGATACTTATGAGACTTTTGTTGAATTAAGGGGTAAATTTTGTAGGCCTTAAATTTATTGAACAGTTTTTGGGGTACTGAGTGGGAGGAAGTTAACTGCCAGTTGCCAAAATTGGCTGGCCCCACACCCCTTATTTTATCTCATTTTTAAAATCCAGATTATTTTTTAAAAAATGTATCATTATTATATATTTATAATAATAGTTACATGTGTAACTTATAAATATTCTGGGCTTTCTGTTGTTACTGAAATGAATTCATGCCATTTAAAAATATCACAGCACAAATGACCAACATTGAATTAAAGGTATAATGTCACAGAGGTTTCAGCAAGAATAGGTTCCTGATGGAGCTGAGAGGAGGAAGACAATGAGTAATGTAGGAAAAAAATATCAGCATACTCATACGTTAGGGTCTTGATTAAAAGCTAACCATTTGTTAGCTTAAAGGAGACTTTTTTGATTACATGTGTCATTGCATGCAGGTGTTCACTATGCCTGGTTCTAAGCATAAGGAATGGAAGGGAAGTTTACTCAGAAACACGATGTCTATAGTTTTGATATCTATGATAATAAATAGTTAAGTTCTGTCAGTGGAATATTTTGAAAAACAATCCTAGGTAATGATTTTACCTAGGTAAAGTGTCACTTTCTCTTGCTACTTTCATTACCTTGCTTTATACATTTATTCCATTTACAGTCTTACCATGTGCTGGGTGCTGGGGCTGTGAAGTTACCACACGGCTCCTGCCTTTGAAGTGTTTTCAGTCTCCTGGTAGAGACAGATGTATAAAGAAATGTAATAGTGTTGGCAGCACCAGTTACAAGGTTATATAAGGCAGAGTTGGAACACAGAAAGGGATCCATTGGGGTGGGGAATGGTTGATAAAGTCAGAGTATTTGTCACCAGATGTGTTTTCTGGTACTTCACTAAAGAGAAAGTCACTGGTTCCTGTCCAAACCAGCTGTGACAGATTTATTGAGTGGTAGTCACTAGCATGGCCCCCTCCTAAGGCATTGCCACTTAAGCATGGATTTTAGAGCAGACCCACTAAATAGAATGTGACTTCATATATTTCTGCTTCCAAGGGCAGAGGCCTTGCCTGCGCCTTCATCTTTGTATCCCCACTCTATCTAGTATGGCACTTTCACATTAATGCTCATTCATTGTTTGCAGAGAATGAAGTTGTTTGAAGAAAATTAATTTTATGCAAGAAATAATGAGTATTGCTTTACTTTGTAAATACATTTTCATTTTGTTAAAAGACTTCCCCTAGAATTAATGTAAATAGCAGCCCCCGATGTTATATAATTAAGTTTGTAAAAATTTTATTAATTCAGCCCTGGCCTATGTGGCTCAGCGGTTAGAGCGTCAGCCCTATGAGACCCGGGTTTGATTCCAGCCAAGGACATGTACCTCGGTTGCTGTTCATCCCCAGTCCTAGTCAGGGTCGCACGGGACACAACTAATCAATGTGTCTCTCTCATATCGATGTTTCTCTCTCTCTCTGTCTCTTTCTTTCTCTCTTTCTCCCTCCCTCCTAATCTGTCTAAAGATTAATGGGAAAAAAATGTCCTTGGGTGAGGATAAAAAAAAATTATTAATTCACCACTTTTCTCCAATATTCCAGTATATAAAGTAAGTTATACTTGCATAAATACTTTAATAACCCCTGTGATTAAAAGTTTACATTGTAATAGCAGTCAGTGTTTTTTGGATTGTTTGTGAGGCAACAATATATATGTTTCTAACAACTGACTTAACTTTTTGTTTCAGAATTACGACACTAAGGAAGGAAGTAATCCAGAAATTGTGATTTAAACTTGATATTTTCTTAAGAAAGTAATGTTGATTAATACTTGGAGTGTACATTTCTTTTTTTTTAGTTATTTTTGCCTTTATTGATTTTTAGAGAGAGAGGAAGGGAGAGGAGGAAAGAGTTAGAAAGAAACATTGATGAGACAGAACATCAACTGGCTGCCTCCCACAGCCCCCCACTGGGGACTGGGCCTACAACCTGGGCCTGTGCCCTGACTGGGAATATAACCGATGACCTCTGGGTGCATGGGTCAATGCTCAACCACTGAGCCACATTGGCCGGGCATTTTTTTTTTTAAGTTTTGTATTAAAAATAAAAAGGCTTTCAACAAGGTGACTTTTTTGAATGTTATATTTAATTACCTCCTCCCTTTATATTTATTATTCCTTTTGAATACAGCTCTAAGAATAAAAACTTCTGTGATCTTTTTAGATACGGTTAAAAAACTCCAGGACCAAAAACATGACATGGAAAGAGAAATCAAAACACTGCACAGGAGACTTCGGGTAGGATAAATCTTCATGTATTATCTCATTGGAAAACATAGTTTTCTGAAAGTTAAGCATAAGGCAGTCATTGATCATGTTAACGTTCATGTTAAGCTTCAAATATTGTTATAATATTGACTCCACTAGGTTTTGAGCAGAAAGCAAATGTTATTATTTCAAATTGGGATCGGTACTAGATTCTGGATAGAAGAATGTACTAGTAATTCATGAGTGGTAATTGTAGAAAGATAGATTTAAGAAGCAAGTGTTATATTTTGGAAAGAAAGTTTATTAGCTCTTGATTATAAAGTATCCCAAACCAAGCTGTTTTCAGTCTTCTGCAGATTTGATCAGCTTGCCAATAGTAGTGCTACTCTGATGCAGAGGGTGGAGGAAGCTAATTTCATAGTCTGGGTCATGCCACAGTTGCTCAGGCTGCCTTCATGGTGTCAGAACATTTGGGGTGGTGGCTTCGGTAGAGGTGACACCCTGGGGAGGTTTCCCCACCCAGCCACACCCGGATCTTTCATGGCTATAGGAAGCAGTGGCCTGTACAGTTAGTTACTTAGCTTCTCTCTTTGTCTATGATTTCGTCCGCCTAGATTAAGTTTAGTGTTTTTCTTCTGGCTTCCTCTTCCTTTTCCTTTCTTTTTGATTTTTTTTTTCCTGTTAGTTTTTGATGTCAGGATATTTATAGGGTCTCACTATAAGATCTTTCAGTGTGGTTTACACACCATTTGCCTACTTTCTTGAGCTTTTCAGAGGTGAAGAACTACAAATTTTGGATGGTATGTTTATTCTCATAAGACTTATTTTGAAACTTGAATGAGGAAGGGAGGCTTGACATTACCATCACTAATATTTATTGAGTACTTTCTGAAGGCTTGATGCCTCAGTAGACAGCTAAAAAAAGTCTTTTGCTCATTAAGAACAAGTTCAATCATAATTATTGCATTATCTTTTAGCTATAGGTAATAGCGATTCTCTGGGATTTAAAAGAAATTTTTCATCATTTGGGACAGTACATTACAGCAACCTAATCATGAACACATTTTATTGTTTTTAAATAAGTTTTTATTGCTCTTTTTTGGAAATAAAATTTTAGTTTTTTAATATAGGAAGAATCTGCAGAATGGCGGCAGTTTCAAGCTGATCTTCAGACTGCAGTGGTCATTGCAAACGACATTAAATCTGAAGCCCAAGAGGAGATTGGTGATCTGAAGCGCCGGTTACATGAGGCTCAGGAAAAAAATGAGAAACTCACAAAAGAATTGGAAGAAATAAAGTCACGCAAGTATGTTTTGAGAAACCAGCAGTGTACATATGTTTCAACAGAACACTAAAATTCCGATTTTGTCATGTGGTATTATGGAAAGAACTTGGGGTTTGACACTGGTATGACTGAGTTTGGATCTAGTGGAAGTTATTCAACTTTACTGGCCTCGTTTTATGACACCTGTGAAATAGCAGAGTCTATATGGATCTTTCATAGTTGTCAGTGTCCATCATCATAAAATCTCTGGAGGAGCCCAGAATGGTCCCTGGTGTAGGATACATCATGGTTTTCTTCTTTCAGTCCCCACATTCTAGCCCTGTGACTTTTCTTTAGATTATAGCCTTGTGATTAAGGTTGTGGACTCTGGAGACAGACAGACTTGTCTCCTGTCCAGCTTACTAGCTGTATGATCTTGGTTAGGGCCCTCAGTTTTTTTATCTTTAAAATGAAGACAATAGCCCTGGCCAGGTAGCTCAGTTGGTTTGTGCCATCCCAAAATACCAAGGTTGCGGGTTCAAGCCCCTGTTAGGGCACATACAAGAATTGACCAATAAATGCATAAATAAGTGGAATAACAAATCAATGTCTCTCTCTCTCTCTCTAAAAATCAATAAAATCAATTAAAAAATAAAATAAAAACAATACTATTTGCTTTACAGTATTATTGTAGGCTTAGATGAGATATGTCTGCAGGGCTATAACGAATATACCTTAGCTAGTACTATTAGAGACCCAAAAAAAGAATGCAAAATGAATTTCTCCCCTTCACTCACTTGAGGAGTTTTCACTTGTTTTATGCTTATAACCACATGAATCTCCATGGTAATATTTTACTCATCTCACATAGAGATCATTGGAAACCCATAAAAAGTTTTAAATGAGATAACATTTTGATGTGCCCAGAGTTTCTCAATGAGACTCTTATCTGCTAGTGGGAGAGATTAGTTTTTGTATTTGAGGTTATTAAGAATTTGATTATTCATTACTTTGAGTAATTCTTAAGTAGGCATAGGAAAAAAATTTAGAAAAATATTTAACAGAATATTTTTGAAAAGTTGTATTTATTGTTGCTTACCTCTAGTGTATGGCCCAGTAGGCAGTATTGCTCGACCATTTTTCTTTGGCCTCCTTAGGCAGAACATGGAATGAGGCAGAAGATTATTGGTTTTCCGATGGTATAAATCTTGTATTACATTTTTAAATCTGTATATTATTGCACTGGCCGGTTTGGCTCAGCGGTTAGAGCGTCGGCCTGCGGTCCTGAGAGACCCGGGTTCGGATGCCGCTAAGGGCGCGTACGTTGGTTGCAGTATGTCCCCGGCCATGGTCGGTCGTGCGGGTGGCAGCCACTCGATGTGTTCCTTTCACGTCGATGTTTCTGTCTCTCTCTCTGTTCCTCTCTCTCCCTCCCACTCTACCTGAACAAAAAATGGAAAAATGTCCTTGGTTGAGGATTTAAAAAAATAATAATAATAAATCTGTATATTATTAAATGAATTGTGTATCAGAAACACTCCATTCTGACGTTAACCTGAGTGACTGAAATTGTACTCTTTTTAAAAATTTTTTAAAAATCTTTACCCAAGGATATTTTTCTATTTATCTCCGATAGAGTAGGAGGGAGGGAGGGAGGGAGGGAGACAGGGAGAGACAGGGAGAGAGAGAGAGAAAGAAAGAGAAAGAGAAACATCGATGTGTCAGTCTTTGAGACATATATTTAAAGGAAGTGCATCCTGAAAGAAGTAGCATCTTATAGAGCAGCAGTTCTTAAAGTGAGATCTGCGAGGTCAGACGTTTTCATAGTAATACTGATATGTTGTTTGCCCTATTTATTATGTTGACTTTTGCATTGATAGTGAAAAGCAAATGTAAATTGTTGATGAATCAAGGCCTTGGCACCAAATTATACTCAGTCGTTGTACTCTTCACCATCATGCACTTGCATTTTAAAAAATGCAGGTTTCCCTTAAGGATGTTCATAATGAAGCAGTAAATTATTGATATTATTGAATCTCAGCCCTTGAGTGTTTTTTTTTTTTTTTATCCTTACCTGAGGACATTTTTGCATTTATCTTCAGATAGAGTGGGAGGGAGAGAGGGAGGAAGAGACAGAGAAACATCGATGTGAGAGAGACGTATCGACTGATTGTCACCCACATGACCCCAACCGGGGCCGGGGATAAACTGTAACCAAGGTAGGTGCCCTTGGTGGGAACTGAACCCGGGATTCTCTGGTCAGTGAGCCAACGCTCTAACTGCTGAGCCAAACCGACCAGGGCAAGTGTATTGTTTTTTACCGTGCTGTGTGACAAAATGGGAAGTACACATAAAGTACTTCTGCCTATACTCAAGTATGAGGTTTTGTGGAGGAAAGTACAGTGTGATTGTTTTGGTTTGAGCTGTTTTCTGTTTGCATTATAATTATTTGAGACTGACTGACAGACTAACTGTGGATATTCAGACTTTGGTATTTGGTGGCTATTTCATGAAAGTGATTAAGAGAACCTGTCACTTCAAGGAAAACAACTGACAATATTTGGTGCTAGTGATAAAATGTGGGCTTTCAAGTGAATGTTAGGATTTTGGAAAACTTATATGTGCTGTTGTGAGCTTGGCAGCTTTCCTGATGAGATCAGTGGTGATATTAACAAATGTGCCTTTAAAAAAATACAGGCATCAACATTTGGAAAATTTGTGTAACTCGGTGAACCAGTATTTTCCAAATGACCAATGCATGGTATAACACAATTATGTATGGGTAAAAGATTCATTCAGCGCTGGCCGGTTTGGCTCAGCAGTTAGAGCGTCGGCCCGTGGTCAAGAGAGACCCTGCTAGGGGCACGTACCTTGGTTGCAGTTTGTCCCCGGTCCTGTTTGGGGTCATTGGATGGCAAGCAGTCGATGTGTTTCTCACATCGAAATTTCTCTCTCTCTTCCTCCCTCTCTCACTCTCGCTCTATCTGAAGATGAATGCAAAAAAAGTGTTGTTGGGTGAGGATAAAGAAAAAGATTCATGCAAAATATAAGATAGACTAGGGGATTTTAATGGACAGAGTAGAAAAGTTTTTTTATATGGTTTCAGACTCTTACAACTAACTTTTAAGTAACAACCACTTGTTGCTTGTGTTTTGGTGTAGTATCAGGAAGAATAGCCACAGTTATCTAAAAAAAACTATAATTATTTTAATATCATTAGAATTTTCTTTGCTTTTCTCAACTAACTACATATCTGTGCAAAGCCTGCTTTTTTCCTCCACCACATTGCAATAGATTGAATGTACAAGAAATGAGAACCTAGCAGTATTAAGCCAGACATTAAAGAGATATGCAAAAGTATAAAACACTACTGTTCTTACTAGTATTTTGGGGTTTTTTGAAAATATAGTCATTTTTCATAAAGTCCTAAGTTTATTTTTATTTTTAGATTAATTAAATATTTTAAATATTTCTTTAAAAAATTTGTTTTTCTTTATTGAATTTAGAGAGAGAGAAGAGGTGAGAGGGGGAGAGAGATATAAACATCGATGAGAGAGAACATCAACTGGCCGCCTCCTGCATGCCCCTCACTTGGGATCGGGCCCACAACCTGGGCATGTCCTCTGACTAGGAATCAAATTGGCAACCTCTTGGTACATGGGTCGACGCTCAACCACTGAGCCACACTGGCCGGACTATTTTAAATATTTCTTAAGGTTTAATTTCTAATATGCTAAATGTCAATAGATATAACCTACATCAAGAAAATCTCTTGGTCCTGTCTGGCTTAAACAAAGCAGTGGTTAGAGCATCAGCCCATACACCAAAGGGTCGTGGGTTTGATTCCCAGTCAAGGGTTTGTACCTGGATTGCAGGTTTGATCCCCAGTTCCTCTTGGGACTTGTGCAGACGACAACCAATTGATGTGTCTGTCTCTTTCATCAATGTTTCTCTGTCACCGCCCCCCACCTTCCGTCCCTTCCACTCTCTCTAAAAGTCAATGGTAAAAAATACCCTCCAGTGAGGATTAACAGGGGGAGAGGGTGGGGAAAACTGTTGGAGGTCCTCAATATTTAAGAGTGAAAGGGGCTCTAAGACCAAAAAATTTGATCATCACTCTGGTACATTGTTTATTAAAACTTCCGATTATATATCTTGAGGCAAAAAAAAACAAAACAACTAAGAAGAGCCAAGTGACAAATTTTCCTAAGAACTAGCTTAATTTTTGTTCACCTACAAACTTACTTGATAGTTACGTGACATGTACAAACTCTACAACTGAAATTTCACTCCAGATGAAAACTTTTGTATTAGCTCAGTGAATTAGAGCTGGCCAGAAGTGAAGTGCAATTGATTTTTTTAGATGACTCATGATCTGTCGCACTGGGCATCTAGGAGACTCATGTTACTAATATGGGCTGTCTTTTTTTTTTTCTTTGTAGAAATTCTGTTTGGAGACAGCAGCAGGTTTTTTTTGTGTTTTTTTTTTAAAGTATGGGTTTTGATTTCATTTCTTTGTATTTCCATGTCTACACATGGCATATTAGATAGAGCTAGTATAGATTATCTATATGTACTGGTGAGTTCCTAGACTCCTAGGAGGGCCTGGCCTTCTCAGCAAGCAGCCCAGAACCTTGAGATCCCCAGTTCTGAGTCAGAATCTAGGCCAGTCGCCTCCCTTTTTTTTTTTTTTTTATCCTCACCCGAGGACATTTTTTTTGTTCAGATAGAGAGGGAGGGAGAGAGAGGAAGAGAGAGAGAGAAACATCGACGTGAAGGGACACATCGAGTGGCCGCCACCCGCACGACCAACCAGGGCCGGGGACAAACTGCAACCGAGGCACGTGCCCTTAGCGGGAACCGAACCCGGGTCTCTCGGGACTGCAGGCCGACGCTCTAACCGCTGAGCCAAACCGGCCAGGGCCAGTCGCCTCCCTTTTTATTGCTAATTGATTACTGATGTCCTCACCTTACACTTACTCAGACGAAAATGGAAACTGATGGTTAAACGTACTTAGGATAACCTGATATAAAAATTTTAATATCATTTCTTGGATTTTACCAAGCAAATGAGAATATTAGACCAAGTAATTTACTTAGCTCAACTGATAGTATTTTTTATTTTAAACTGCTACTTCTTAATACTTTTCAGTTGGGCAGGGGAAATGTGTATTATCTGGTATATATGTAAAAGATTTCCTGATTTCAATATTGTTTTTAGGCAAGAGGAGGAGCGAGGCCGGGTGTATAACTACATGAATGCTGTTGAGAGAGATTTGGCAGCCTTAAGGCAAGGAATGGGACTGAGTAGAAGATCCTCGACTTCCTCTGAGCCAACCCCCACGGTAAAAACCCTGATCAAGTCCTTCGACAGTGCATCTCAAGGTAATTTCGTATACATTGTGCCAAGAGCAGGCAGTCATATTCACTTACCATGTTTTCTGGTCTAGTTTGGTCTTTTTTTACTGTCTTATTCTGAGTCTCACCAAATTTCATATAGAATTAATGAGTTAGTATTATTAAAAGGTGTTTTTTTTAGCAGGAGATTTGGGAAATTTTCAGCTTCAGAGATCTTGGTCTCAGACTTGTGTCTTACTGCATGCAGAGATATGTTTTCACACATGCCTGTGACTTTGAGAACCTTTTCTGTACCTAAGTACTTCTAGATGTATGACTTCAGCTCTTTCCCTTCCTCTGAACTTTTTTAGGTCTGTAAACTCAAATGCCTATTTGACATTGACATTGAGGTGTTTCCTAGACGTCTTATTATGTCCAAAACCAAATCTTATTCCTCGGCTTCAGTCTTTTTTCTATGTTAATGGCAGCACCATTCCACCCAGTTACTTAAACCAGAAATCTAGTAATCTTCCTTCTTCCTTAAATCCTCCTTTCTCACCTCTGCATCTAATCCATTAGCGAGTCGTCTTGATCTAGCCTTCTACATGCATACCTTTGCTTTATCTACTCCCCTCCATCTTTAGTGGCACAGTCAAATATTAGTTCAAGCTACCATCACCTATTAATTTTAGTAACCTACTAATTAGTTTCCTCATTTTATTTCATGATAAAATTCTTTACTTTATAATGGTTTGAATGAAATTTGGATCCCCAGATTCCCATACAGTTTGACCCTGCCTTCATCTTCCCTCACCTGAGCCACTTCTCCTCTGCCCTTTGCATTCCAGCTGCACTGCAGGTCCTGAAACAAACCAGGCTCTGTATCACATGAGCTTTTTTCTGCCTGGAAGCACACTCTTCCCACCACCTTCAAGTGACTGGCTCCTTTTATCTCTCTAACCTGCTCAGCTCTGGGAAAGGGAAAGGGATGTCGTTGTTTAAAACTACTAATTGTAATACATCCTAAAGCTTAAACTTTCATCTAGAAAGTCTTTAAACTTTATGATAAGCTTTATTCTAATTCATTGTAATAGTAGAATTTCTAGAATCTATATTCTGTGATTATACACAAACCAGTTTTCTTTGACTTAAAATCAGAGCAAAAGTCTCTTGTGTACACTCACATACACTTTTCACTTTTTTTTTAATCCTCACCTGAGGCCTTTTTTTTTTTTTTTTTTTTTTTGCATTTATCTTCAGATAGAGAGGGAAGGAAGAGAGAGAGAGAAACATCGATGTGAGAGAGACACATTGACCGCTGCCACCCACATGACCCCAATCAGGGCCAGGGACAAACCGCAACCGAGGCACGTGCCCCCAGGGGGAACCGAACCCGGGACTCTCTGGTCTCGGGCTGATACTCTAACCACTAAGCCAAACTGGCCAGGGCTCACATACACTTTTGATACAGACCTTTTGGGGTATAGTTAGGCAGTATCTTCTAATTTAAAATGCCATATTCACAGACCCCGAAAGTTCTATATATGATACTGGCACAAGTATAAAGATAGATAAATACAAAGTTTTCAATATAGTGTTTGAAAAAAGGAAAAAACCTGGACATAGCTTAACTGCCCATTGTAATGGTCATCAGTTATAATCCATTAATGCAGTAGAATACTATGCATCCTTTAATAAGGTTGTGGTAGATCTCAAAGCACTGATGTTAAAATGTGTCTGCAATCCTTTATAGCAAGTTTTAAAAACCAGTATTATGTAGTATGGTCTCATTTTGTTTTTTAAAGTACGTAGATGTGTTCATTGAAAGTGTAAAAAATGCACTCAATACTGTTCTTAGGGCTACCTGTCTGTAATATGATAGGAGGACATTGAAAATGTATATTCTAAAATAAAATGAGCCCTGGCCGGTTTGGTTCAGCAGTTAGTGTCGGCCTGTGGACCAGAGAGGCCCAGGTTTGGTTCCGCTAGGGGCACGTACTTCGGTTGCAGTTTGTCCTTGGCCCGGGTTGGGGTTGTATGGGTGGCAACCAGTAGATGTGTCTCACATCTATGTTTCTCTCTCTCTCCCCCCTCTCTAGCTCTTGCTCTATCTGAAAATAAATGCAAAAATGTCCTCGGGTGAGGATAAAAAAAAAAAAAGAAAAAGAAATAAAATGATAAAGGAATGTCTACACTAAATTAAAATCGTGCAGTTATTGAAAATATTAATAAAATGAGCTTTAATGCAAAGAGATAATCTGCTTCTATACTGACCTTTTTAAAAAAAAAACAAGCCCGGCTGGTGTGGCTCAGTGGATTGAGTGTCATTCCGTGGACTGAAAGATCCCGGTTTGATTACCAGTCAGGGCACATGCCCAGGTTGCAGGCTTGGTCCTCAGTGGGGGGTGTGCAGGAGGCAGCCGATTGATGTTTCTCTCTCACATCAATGTTTCTATCTCTCTCCCTTCTCTCTAAAAAATCAATAAAAACATATTTAAAAGAAAAAAACCCACAAAACAAAACAGTATTTTATAATAAAATACATTTAAATGACCCAGCAAGTCCACTCCTAGTTATATACTCAAAAGAAGTGAGCATGAGTATTCAAATACTTGTACATGAATGTTCATAATAGCATTACTTACAATAGCCAAATGTGGAAACAATTCAAGTATCCATCAGCTGATGAATGGATAAACAGAATGTGGTATAGCCATATGATGAAATATTCAATAGTAAGAAGGAATGAAATACTGATATACACTACCGTGTGGATAAATCTGAAAACATATCAAACAAAAGGAGTCAGGCACAAAAGGCCACATGTTGTAAGATTCCATCTATATAAAATGTGTAGAACAGGTAAATACATAGAGACAGAGCAGTTTAATGGTTGCCTGGAACTTGGGGGAGAAGTAGATGGGGAGTGACTGCTTAATAGGTACTGGGATTCCTTTTGGGGTAATGAAGTGTTTAAAAAATAGGTAGAGGTAATTATAGTTGCTAAATATTGTGAATGTCCTAAATGCCATTGAACTGTACCTTCAAAAATTATTAACTTTATATTATGTGAATTTTATCTTAGTAAAAAATACATCTAAAAATACAGTTCTAAATATAATGCTTAGCTACATGAAAAGGTCTACAGTGATCTACTTTATCTTGCCCTGTGTGATGTGCCTGATGTCATTTGTGTGTTCCATTTTGATTTTAATTTAGCTTCAATGAAGAACTGTTTTTATGTGCCCTTACTAGAATCTATGTCAAACCCAGGTATCTAGAAATGAATCAATTACGGCTCCTACTTTTGAACAGTTCAGACTAGAGGGGGAGACTGATACATGAGCATATAATTGCACGTTAGTGCATTAAATGCGCACCAAATAATACATGTGAAGTGAAGTGATGAACTCCACTGGGGGAGGTGAGCAAAGATGAGCAGGAGCCCAGCTTTCCTTCATTTGATACAGTTAGTGAATAGCCTCTATATTTCAGGCTTCTCACCTGATATAGTTAAAGAAATACTTTTTTCGGTTTTTTGGTACTTGGATTTTATTGATTTATAGAGCACTTTAACCTTAAATTAACTAATTAGCAAAATGAAATGGCTGGCAAAACCAGGGTTGGAAATAAACACAACTGCCCTAGGGAACAAAAAATCTACGTGGTGACGGGAGAAACCCAGGCTGCTGGGCAGGCATGGCTGTGAGTGTTCAGCAGAGGTTAGTAAAAGGTGAAAGATTTATGCGATCTGAAGAAAAACCAGAGTATGTTCAGCAGAGGTTAGAATCAGTCTGGATAGTTTCCAGGGGAGCTAAGAGCATTGGTTAATTTGGTGAACCTATAAGGGGAGACCAGTTACAAAAGCTTCCACTGTACCATGATGCATTCATTATGTACTTGTTTGTTTTTTTGTTTTTCTAGTACCGAACCCTGCTGCAGCTACAATTCCTCGAACACCTCTGAGTCCAAGTCCTATGAAAACTCCCCCTGCAGCAGCTGTCTCCCCTATGCAGGTAAGTGCCTGTGACTGTAGAGGCTCTGGAGTCTCAGCATCTGAAAGGTAGTCCTCTTTAAAATCCTTTACACTTATGTCAGATGGTGGGGCAAACAAATGACTACCACGTGAGCGATATAGTTGGAACTTTCTCCCCTAAAATACTGTAAATTGAAATAAATTATGTAAATGTCAGTTGTGTTGTTTTAAAAATCTGTAGTAGTAATAGCTAACAACTACTGAACACTTAGTATATGTTCTACACTGTTCCAGATGCTTCATAGTGTTAACTCACTTAATCCTCACCACAACTCTGTTGGGTATTAGGTACTGTTCTCATCCCTAGGTTTCACATGTGGAAACTGAGGCCTAGAAGGGTAAGCAACTTACTGAGGGTCATACAATTAAGAAATGGTAGAGCTGGGGTTTGAACCTGGGCAGTTTGGCTTCAGAGATCATGCTTTTAACCACTATACTAAGTTACTTCTCTAGGTTGAATATGTAGTTAGCATGTCTAAGTCTCTACTGCATAACAGATTATTTCAAAACTTAGTGGCTTAAAACAGCAATTTTATTATTTTTCACATTTCTCTGGGTTGACTAAGCAGTACTTTGTATGTTTTTCCTGGGCTCACTCCAGAAACTGCACTTAGCTCTAGAAGGTGGGCTGGGCCTGGGCTCAGCAGAGATGGTTGAACTACTCTCTCTCCATGTGGTCTTTTCTCTCAGGCTCCTTCACAGCATGGTGTTTCAAGCTCCAAGACAGTGAAAGTGAAAGTTAGCAAAGCTTCTGAAGACCTAGGCTTGGAATTTGGACCGTGTCACTCTATCTCATTCATTTGGTCTAAACAAATCATAAGGCCCTCCCAGATTCGGGGTGGGAGGGTCTGCATGAATTCAGAGAAGTGTGATTCATAGTGGGCTGTTTTGTAGCAGTCCAGTACAAGGGCATTGCTGATCCATTACAAACAAGTTTAGAAGGTGCTCTTTCTTGCCACTCTGGAAATGCAAACCAGAGTCAGGGCAGATGGTTGTTATTCTGTAGTGCTCAAGTGGCCGTCTCTCATTATGCCCCTGCTAGTAAACCACTTTTGGAAAGAATGGCTGAGGTAGAGTTTTTCCACATAGGTGAGAGTAGCCAAAGGAAAAATGGCCTAAAATCTATTACCCTGATACAGCATAGCCTTGGCTGCACCTCTTCCCTAATAAATAGGTTTTGGGAGCATTTTCTTTGAGTGGAGCCTTTTGTGGTTGTTTAACTACTGGCCATGTATTTTGTGAGTGAACATTTAAACATTTTCTTTGTATAATTTAAAGTGTGCTTTCTCTGCATTTATAATGTTGCAAGTGGCTTTGCATTTACATTTATATGGAAGATTTTATACTCAAAATTTATTAATTTTTTGTTAATCCTCACCTGAGGATATTTTTCTATTGATTTTTAGAGAGAGTGGAGAGGAGGGAGGGAGAGAGAGAGAGAAACATCAATGTGAGAGAGACATATTGATTGGCTGCCTCCCGCATGACCCCACACCAGGGTGGGGATCGAACCTGCAACCCAGGTACCTGCCCTTGCCAAGGAATCTAACCTGAGACCCTTCGGTTTGTGGACTGACACTCTAACCACTGAGCCAAAATAGCCAGGGCTATACTCAAAATTTAAAAGGAAGGCTCATTAATCTATAATGAGCTTTTTTTTTTTTTTATCCTCACCTGAGAACATTTTTTCGTTTTTTGTTCAGATAGAGTGGGAGGGAAAGAGAGGAAGAGAGAGAGAGAGAGAGAGAAACATCAATGTGAAAGGGACACATCACGTGGTTGCCACCCACATGACCCAACCAGGGCCAGGGACAAACTGCAACCGAGATACTTGCCCTTAGTGGGAACCAAACCCGAGTCTCTCCGGACCGCAGGCCTACGCTCTAACCGCTGAGCCAAACCGGCCACGGCTGTAATGAACTTTTTATATGCTCTATTAATTAAACTTCTAAAGATCTGAAGATATAAATGAAAGCAAAATAAAGCTGCATAATATGATAAACTGAGTGTTGAAGTTTAATGGACAAGGCATCACTTTGTAAATCTTCGTACAAGTAGGAGGTGAAAAGCTCATTTCTCTAACTTGAATAAACTAATAATTATAAGCTATATTCAGTAGATATTTAGTATCTGATTAGTTAGCACAGTTCTTCTCAAACCTAAATGTGCATAAAAATTACATAGGTTTGTTTGTTTGTTTTTAATCCTCACCCGAGGATATTTTTCTATTAATTTTCAGATAGAGTGGGAGGGAGGGAGAGAGAGAGACATCAGTGTGAGAGAGACACATTGATTGGTTGCCTCCTGCATGACCCCACCAGGGCCAGGAATTGAACCCACAACCAAGGTGCTTGCCCTTGACCAGAATCAAACCTGCGACACTTTGGTCTAAGGGCTGACACTCTAACTACTGATCAAAACTGCCCAGGGCACATAGAGAGTTTTTAAACATGTAGATTCCCAGGCCTTATCCCAATAAATGAAAATCTCTGGGGAATAGGGCGTGAGATTGGGATTGTTCCTTTTTCAAAACTCCCGGGGTACAAACTTCACTTCTGGCTATGAGGGAGTAATGGTCGTGGTTACTGTGCCACCACAAACAACTAGAAAGCTGGACAGAAGAATAGGAAGAAGTTATATTCAGACATTGCACAACAGGCAGTACAAGAATGATCCATAAATAAAAGTTAAAAGATAAATTAAATCCTGCTGTGGCCCACACTTTTCCTTTTGGCAATTTCCAGATGGTGGTAGAGGTAAGATGAGCCCAGATGGAGCAGGGAAGGGGAAACCAGTTGGATCTGAGGAGACACACAGATCGGTGTTGAGGAGAATGAGAATGCCAGAATTTATGGGCAGGGTACCTGGGAAGAGGGAGCTATGCAGAAAAGGTGTTCTAGAACTGTGCAGAGGTATCCCCTTGAGTACCCCTAAAAGGCTGGAAAAGAACAAATCCCCAGGAAAGAACAGTTACCAGGGAGCTGTCAGATAAACGTTTCTCATCATTCACATGGGGCAGGTTTTTAATTGGAGTTCCCACTGGTCACTGTGGAAAATCCACTTTGAATACTTGGAGCATTTATTAGAAACCACCAAGGGCCATACTATAAAGTGGAACTAAATAGTTCTAGTGTAAACACTGTTCTACACCTGCCCTTAATAACCTTAAAAATAAGCCTCAAAAGAACCATGGAGATCCGTAAGTAACTGAGCATCCTCTGAAATGCTTCCCTGTAATCTGTACCTCCTGGTAGTCATGCTCTATGCAGTCTGGAGTATTGGCTGGACTCCATGACTTGCTCCTGATTAATAGAATATGGCAGAAGGGATTGGTTGTCATTTACAAGGTAAGGTTAAATTAGCTTCTTTCTTGAGTACTCCTTTTGCTGTCTCTTAGATCTAGTCATGCCAGTGAGCAATTGGAAATAGAAATACTTAGCAGTAAATTTAATAAAATATTGTATAAGACCTGTACAATGCAAACTATAAAATATTGCTGAGAGAAATTAATGAAGTAATAAATGGAAAGATACGTTATATTAATGGATTAGAAGACTCAATATTGTTTATATCTTACAGTTCTCCCTCACGTTGATCTGTAAATTCATCTCAATCCCAGTATGCTATTTGTGGAATCTGACCATATAATTTTTAATTTATATGGGAATTCAAACAACCCTGAATATTTAACACATCTGGAGGAAAAGAAAAACAAATTTGGAGGACTTCAGCTACCTGATTTTAGCACTTAAGTAATTAAGACAGTGTGGTGCTAACATAAGTTTAAATGTAGACATTAGATAAGTAGAAAAGATAGAAATCCAGAAATACAACACTTAATTTTCAGCAAAGATGCCGAGGTAATTCAATGGGAGAGGGGTAGCCTTTCCAACAGAGGATTCTGGAACAACTAGATATCCATATGGGAAAAAATAACCACAACCCTTACCTCATGGCATTTATGAAAATTGAAATTAACTATAGGCCTAAATGTAATAGCTAAAACTACAAAATTTCTAGACGAAAACGTTAGAGAAAATCTTTATAACCTTCAAGAAAGCAACGATTTCTTATTTAGGATACAAAAAAGAACGAACCATACAAAAATTGGTAAGCTGGGCATCAAAATGTAAAACTTTTCTGAAAGACATTGAGAAAAAGAAAAGACAAGTTACAGATTGGGGAGAATATATTCATAATACAACTATCTATTAAGACTTCTATTTAAAGAAGACTTTTTTGTCTTCTTGGTTGAAGACAACCTAGTAAATAATAAACAAAAGATTTGAAAAGTCCCTTCCCAAAAGAAGATATAAAAATGGTGAAGAAACATAAAATGCTCAACGTCATGAGTCAATGAGAAAGTAAAAATTAAATCCACAGCAAGGTCCTACTACACACCCTATATAGGATGTCTAAAATGTCAAGGCAATATTAAACATTGGCAAGGATGTGGAGAAGCTGAACTTCTTGTACATTTCTACTGGGAATATGAAATGTGTAGTTAGAAGTTAGATAGATATAAAAAGGCTGGGGAAAAGCTGAGGAAATAAGCCTGAGAAAAAACACAAGATGGTAAACAGCATGATCTGTGTGGAAATAAGCAGTTTGGTGATGTTTGAGCATTATTTAGAGGAGGAGAACTGAGAGGTTTTAAGTATTGGTGCTTCCTTCTGGCTGCATGCAGGGGATGTATGCATAAGAATGAATTGAGGAAGCTGGTGACAAAGCCTAGGAAGGCTTGTATTGGGGCAGTTGAATTAGGAGAGTTAGTAGTTGACAGAATTGAGATCTATTTGGAACTAGGGCATGAATTGAATGACCAATAAAAGAACAATAGGAGCACATCTATTTCTCTCTAATTGGTATGTGATATATAAGAATTATCTTTAGCCCTGGCCGGTTTTGCTCAGTGGTTAGAGCATTGGCCTGTGGTCCAGAGAGACCCTGGTTCGGTTCCCGCTAAGGGTACGTGCCTCCGTTGCAGTTTGTCCCTGGCCCTGGTTGGGTCCTGCGGGTGGTAGCTACTTGCTGTGTACCTTTCGCGTGATGATTCTCTCTCTCTCTCCCTCCCACTCTATCTGAACAAAAAATGGAAAAATGTCCTCGGGTGAGGATAAAAAAAATAAAAAGAATTATCTTTAAACAAGATAATGAGATTGTACGCAGAATACCAGTGGTTGCCAGGTGTCAGTGATGTGGGGTCAGGAAGGAAGAAGGAGAAGGTATAATTGTAAAAGGGCCATAGGAGGGATTCTTGTGGTGATGGAAGCATTCTGTCTGTATATACCAATGTCAGTATCTTGGTTGTGATATTATACTGTAGATTTATAAGATGTTATCTTTGACGAAAACTGGGCATATGAGATCTTTTTGTTTTAAAATGGTGTATTGGTCATGTTATATGCCAGAGAGAAAGAGAGTTTCAGCCTTACAACAATTTGGAAGGGATTATGCAAATTTATAACTAAATATTTATTATCTGCAACTTTCTTTGTGAGTCCCAGCTCTAGATTTAACCTGACTTTGATAATGTTTATCTTATGATTTCAGAGACATTCCATAAGTGGACCAATTTCTACATCTAAACCCCTGACAGCCCTGTCAGATAAGAGACCAAACTATGGGGAAATCCCTGTTCAAGGTACATCTCATATGTTGCAGTATTTCACTTTTTGTTATTAACTTTTTAATTCTGACCTTTTTTGATTAACTAAATTGTTATTTTCTTTATCCTTGACATTATTTAAGCCATTCTGGTATACATGTTTATGAGAAGTTTACTAATAATATGTCTTAATTACAAAAGGAGAGGTCAATTATTAAATAAGTACATCGTAGAAGACAACTCCCTCATAGCATCATGATAAGTAATAGAGAGTTGCTTTTGCAAGGCACTGTGTTTTCTTAGTTTTTTTTTTGGTGTACAGATTGTTATCCCCATTTTATAGGTACTAAAGTGAGGCTTCACAAAGTATCTTAATGCAGGTTAACATAGTTATTGAACAGTAGACCTGGGCAGTCTGACTCCAAAGCCTACTTTAAAAATCTCTTACTGTCTGTTGTTCATAAGAAGGAACTGAGACTCTGCAAGACGAGATCCAGCAGTTCTTTTCTGCACTTGTGAAGGGACTTGTCTACTTTCACACAGTGCTTTATGGGAGAGCCAGCACCAGAACCCAAGTTTCCTCCCTTTTGAGGTCAGGGCTCCTTTTCTTACCCACACTGCATTTTTATGTGTGGTGCTGAAATGCATTGGAAAAATGGTTTGTGGCATTGTCATGGTGCTGTGAAAAGCAGCACTTCATTTGGGATACGTGTGGAGATGCTCAGCAGGTGCGCATGTCACTCAGGAGCCTAGGTCTCCTCTTAGCTAATGCAGGCCAGTCACTTCCATGTGTTCTTTTGTGCACGCTCTTCGTCGTAGACGTTAGGTGTTAGGCTCAGGTAAGACTACAAGGTTTTGACAAGTGCAGGGAAGAAATAAGCAGATATATGAGAGTAATTCCATTAAAGAACCTAAAGGACTGGCTCCGTGGACTCCATGTACCACCATAGGGTTCAGTTTGGCAGTGGAACTGAACTGCTCCTATACCTACCAGTCCTGAGTGTTCAAATAAGCTGGTTGTGCAAACATTAGGTGACAGTGGAAGATGTTACTGCTGCTGCTTTCCCTGCACAAAGACTTGCCTGCTCCTTTTCCAGGATATTCTTTTTGGTTTTCATGACATCACACTCTTGCATCTTTTCTTTCCTCCTTGGCTGCTCCTCTGCCTCCTCTGCTCGTTCCTTCTCCCCAACCAGTGGTGGTGGTGTGCCGCAGAGCTCTGTCCTCAGGCCTGTCTTCTTTCTGTCAGTACTCACTCTGCCGTTGTATCCTGTCTGTATTTTTAACTTCTATTTTTATTCTGAGAACTGCCAAATTTTATATCTCCAGCCTGTTTCTGTCCTGTGGACTCTAGATTCATATATCCAGTTATTTGTTTGACATCACCATTTTGGTGTTGAATGCTATTAGACTGAGGTTGTCCAGGATGAGATTCCTGTGTGCAGTCTGCCTTCTCTACCTCAGTTAATGGCAATTTTATTTTTTCAGAAACTTGGGAATCATTCTTAATTCCCTTTGGAGTCATGTCTTAGGCCCCATATATGAGACCTGTTCGGTTCTTAGGAAACCCCATTGGCTCTACTTTCAAAATGCATCCAGGACTGGAGCATTGCCCCGCCACCACCTTGGTCGGAGCCGTCACCATCTCTCACCTGGATTCTGGCAAAAGATTTCCTAATCCCTTTCCCAGTCTATTCTTAACCCTATAGCCACTGTAATCTTGGAAAATATAAATTGGAACATGTCATTTTACTCAGAACCCTTCCATTTCTTTCAGAAAAATTAAAGTTCTTTTAGTGGCCTCCAGATCCTCCTAGCCTGGGCTCAGTTGCCCCTGTGGCCATATCACCTCTCTCTGTTGGTTACTCTGCCCAGCCACCTGGGCTTCCTTGCTATCCTGGGACACTCAGGCACAGTCTTGACTTAGTGACCTTATACTGGCTCTTCCTCTGCTAGAACCACTTGTCCAGAAGGAGGACTTACTCTCCGTTTCTCTCAGATTTCACCTAGGTGAAGTCCTGAGCGCTGTATTAATCATTGTAATTCACTCTTTTCTCCATACACCTCTTTCTCTGATCTCTCTCTCAACCTTAGCACACATCCCTTCTAATGTACTATGTAGTTTACTGATCTATAACTGTTTGTGAACTTTTTCTTAGTAGCACACGTGGCTGAGAATAATGGCTCTTAATTGTCCACGAGTAAAATATTTTCGTTCATTGCAAGGCAGCCGAGGTCTGCAGGGTTTTGCTTATCTGCCAGCAGTGGCTGTGGAAAGCATCAGTACAGTTATGTTTTGTGCTTCTTAAAAGAGCTGTATGCATCGAGAGCAAAGATGGGAGCCAAGGGTCCAGTAACTCCCAGTGCCCTGTTTCTGTTAATAAAGTCACCCTTTGACCTGCAGTCATAGTCAACCACAGTTGGAGCCAGGAGCCAGAACGACACAGCCTTTGCAAATGTATATAATCCGGGCCTGTGACAACCCTGTGGGAGAAGCCCCTATCTGGAGAGCATTGAAGTGATCCTCAGACACCAAAGAATACTTGAGTCACAGGCCCCAGTGACCCAGAGGAGGGCAGGGGTACTCCGTGAGAAACGACTCAGGGCTGTTCTAAACTTCCTGAAGCCAGGCTGAAGCCAACCCTTGGGGCCTTCTCCCTTTTGCCTACTACCCTCCAGACTCATCATCTTAATTGGCTCACATCAGGGCAAGATTTGACCAGGGAAATTCAGCATCAGCAGTGTTTTTTTGTTTTGTTTTGTTTTTAATTTTTTTCTTTATTGATTTTAGAGAAAGAGGAAGGGAGAGGGAGAGAGAGAAACATCCATGAGGGAGAACGTCGATAGGCTGCCCCATGCATGCCCCCCACTGGGGATTTGGCCCACAACCTGGGCATATGCCCTGACTGGGAATCGAACTGGTGACCTCTTAGTGCACGGGTCGACGCTCAACCACTGAGCCACACTGGCCATGCAGCACCAGCACTATTTCTTGAACTTACCTATTGATGAGACTTACCTAAGTCACCTGATAATATATGGAATCCTTGCCATGGACTCTTCAGGAAAGGGAGTTTGGAAACTTCATTTTCAAAAGCACCCCAACTGATTTTTAGGAAAGGACAAATTTGGGAAATTAGGCAAAGATTATTGTTTCATTTTTCCTTATGCCTTGCATTTTGTGGGTGGGGAATGGGTTGTGGAAGGTCTGTAAGCCAAGGTTATCGAAGACACAAACTAAATGTGTTAAGTGTCTTTGGAGCCAGCTCAATCAGATATTTTTCTGGCTTTCCTCATTTTATTATCAGGTAATGTATCATATGATAATGCCATTGGGCATGAAGTGTGTGCAGTCTGTCTGTGTTAATGCCGGTCTAGTTCTCCACTTCATTCTGTTATAATGCCTTAATGGGGCTTAGTGGAAACAGTGCAAATACAGGAGACAGAGGAAAACACACTTAGATGGATTTTTATCTGAGAATTTGTTGACAGTGTGATCTTATCTTACATAGTGACTAGAGAAAGAAACCACTTACAAATCTGAGAACAACCAAATGATTCTTGGTTATAAAAAGCCACCATGGTTATCCAAACTGGGATAAAAGAGTAGGATTTCCGAGCTCGTTCTTGAACTGTTTTTCTTCCTTGATTGTCTCTCTTATCATGGCATAAATAAAAACATAGTCTATAATAAAATAAAGAAAATTGGAAAAAAGTATAATTTTCATTTTGAAAGTTTTAGTGGCTTTATTACTGAAATTTAAAAAGGTGCTGCCTCTCCCTGGCTGGTTTGGCTCAGCAGTTAGAGAGTTGCCTGCAGACCAAAGGGTGGCAGGTTCGATTCCCAGTCAAGGACAGGTACCTGGGTTGCAGGTTTGACCCCCGGCCCCAGTGAAGGTCGTGCAGGAAGCAGCAATCAATATGTCTTTTTCACATTGATGTCTCTCTCTCTCTCTCTCCCTCTCTTCCTTTCACTCTGTCTACAAAGCAATGGGAAAATATCCCCAGGTGAGGATTTAAAAAAAAAAGGTGCTACCTCACTTTGGTCAGTTTGGCTAAGTGATTAGAGCATCAACCCGTGGACCAAAGGGTCTCAGGATTGATTCCTGGTCAAGGGCACATACCTGGGTTTTAGGTTCAGTCCCTGGCCCTGGTCAGGGTTGTGCGGAAGGCAACCAATCTATGTGTCTCTCTCGCATCGATGTTTCTCTCTCTCTCTCTCTCTCTTTCTCTCTCTTTCTTTCTCTTTCTCTCTCTCTCTCTCCCTCCCTCCCTCCCTCCCTCCTTCTTTTCCATTCTATCTAAAATATATCAATGGAGCCCTGGCTGGTTTGGCTCAGCGGTTAGAGCATCGGCTTGCCGTCTGGAGAGACCCGGGTTCGGTTCCCGCTAAGGGCATGTACCTCGGTTGCAGTTTGTCCCTGGCCCCGGTTGGGTTGTGTGGGTAGCGACCACTCGATGTGTCCCTTTCACATCGATGTTTCTCTCTCTCTCCCCTACTCTATCTGAACAGAATATCAAAAAAATGTCCTCGGGTGAGGATAAAAAAAAAAAAAACAAATAAAAAATATCAATGGAAAAATATCCTCAGGTGAGGATTAACAAAAAATAAAATAAAAAGGTGCTACCTCTTGTTCTACTACATTTAAATTAGAGAATTTGTGGGTTTGTGTTTAAGACCCAATATTCTGTGTGTGTGTGTGTGTGTGCGTGCATGCGCGCGCACACTTGTTTGTTTTCTGTTTCTGTTTTTGTTTTTTTTAGGGAGAGAGAGATAAAAACATCAATGTGAGAGAGAAACATCCATCGGCGCCTCCTGCATGCTCCCTACTGGGGATTGAGCCCGCCACCTGGGCCTGTGCCCTGACTGGGAATCGAACTGGCACCTCTAAGTCCATGGAATGATGTTCAATCCACTGAGGAACACTGGGTGGGCTGTGGGGTTTTTTTTCTAGTTATGTATTTTATAATAGATGTGTGGGTTTTTTTGTTGTTTTGTTCTGTTTTAGCATCATTGCTTGTATGTCAGTTGCAGG